CGAAACTATGTACTCAGATTGTAAATGTTGTGGATTTACTCTCCAACACACCGGTTAGTGCTGTACTAGTAACGAATTGGCACGTTCTGTTTACGTGACAAACCTTACTAATTGGCTGTGTCGGGTGGTGGCGGGTTTAATGACATTTATATTTACGTGATCTAACCCAAACCTGTATTATCAATATACTTAATCACAATTTAAGTAAGTCAAAGTTATATACTGTATGTTCCCATCGGTCTCTCCGACTGAAATAACACTAAGTGTATTAAATTTGGCCCTAAATTTGCAGCACATTTGGGAAAGTGAGTATCGATCAGCAGCAATGTGGGTTGGTGTTCAGTGTAAATGGGTGGATGGATGAGAGAGCTGGTGGTGCATACTGATCCAAGTCACACACAGATCTCAGAAGCTAAGCAGGAATTTGAGCCTGGATAATGCTTTGGTGGACGACCAACCACCACCAATGCACGCCAAGTGCAGCAATATGGCAGTGCAGAAAAATCCCATTAATAATTGTACTGTGCTTCTATGCTCCCACAATTATGCTGCCTGCCTTCAACCGACCCGCACTGATTGGCGTGGTCAAGTGTGGCCAAATAACCCTGACAGGCGTGGGGAGGCCCTCATCCAGCAGTGGATTGATCAAAGGTTCTGTATATGAACCTTATGGCTTGACCCCGGGGTCCCGAATAAACGGGAAGTCAAAATCGTAATTAATTTATTTTTGGCGACTCCGTCCCATCCGCGCACATAAACAGACGCTGCTACCCACCTGGCGTGGATCGTTCTGTTGTCATGTCCAAGCTCACCAGCGAGGACGAATGCGCAGAAGAGCTGAACAAGCGAATGCACTCCATGTTCGGGTATGGGCAGGATCATAACAAGTCTTATCCAAAGCTGCTTAAACTGCCTACACGACTGAAGTCCTTTATTTGTCATAACGGTATCCATAATACAGTGAAACTGCTCTCTTATCATCATTATTATTTGTGACCTACCAATGTCTGCAGCCAGGATCAATCGATGACAGTCCTATTACCTGCAGATATTTAACAGATGAGATGTGTTGCACCGTTAATTCCTCCTGTTTGATATTTATCTTGTCCGTATGCATCTGTGCAGATAGTTTTTTTTTTGCGGTTAAGCCATAGTCCCCACATACCGCTCGTATCAATGCGGATAAGAGGAGCGGCGACCCACTGCTCTGTAGAGTAACATTGATATAAACGTTTGTTACAACATGAACAGCGCATTGAAAACGCGTACTATTTTACGTACTGTTTACAAAGTGTGTTCACACATCCACAACTGAGAAACACGATGAAGGACAGAGGGGTGTAAATTATTTTTTCAATAGTGTATTTAAATAGAGGTACTGCAGGTAAGTAGTTTTCAGTTTTAAAGGCTTAGTTTAACAAGACAACACTTGCCACTATCCTTCAAACCCATTGGTGAAAAAGAGCAAAGTTTTTGTTCACATATAATGTTTACATTATATATAATATATTATAATGTTTACGCGAAAGCCGGGGGCTTATGGGACCCTGGGGTCCAGCCATAAGGTTCATATGTACAGTGAGGGAAAAAAGTATTTTATCCCCTGCTGATTTTGTACGTTTGCCCACTGACAAAGAAATGATCACTCTATAATTTTAATGGTAGGTTTATTTGAACAGTGAGAAACAGACTAACAACAAAAAAATCCAGAAAAACGCATGTCAAAAATGTTACAAATTGATTTGCATTTTAATGAGGGGAATAAGTATTTGACCCCTCTGCAAAACATGACTTAGTACTTGGTGGCAAAAGCCTTGTTGGCAATCACAGAGGTCAGACATTTCTTGTAGTTGGCCACCAGGTTTGCACACATCTCAGGAGGGATGTTGTCCCACTCCTCTTTGCAGATCTTCTACAAGTCATTAAGGTTTTGAGGCTGACGTTTGGCAACTCGAATCTTCAGCTCCCTCCACAGATTTTCTATGGGATTAAGGTCTGGAGACTGGCTAGGACACTCCAGGACCTTAATGTGCTTCTTCTTGAGCCACTCCTTTGTTGCCTTGGCCGTGTGTTTTGGGTCATTGTCATGCTGGAATACCCATCCATGACCCATTTTCAATGCCCTGGCTGAGGGCAGGAGGTTCTCACCCAAGATTTGACGGTACATGGCCCCGTCCATCGTCCCTTTGATGCGGTGAAGTTGTCCTGTCCCCTTAGAAAAAAACACCCCCAAAGCATAATGTTTCCACCTCCATGTTTGATGGTGGGGATGGTGTTCTTGGGGTCATAGGGCAGCATTCCTCCTCCTCCAAACACGGCGAGTTGAGTTGATGCCAAAGAGCTCCATTTTGGTTTTATCTGACCACAACACTTTCACCCAGTTGTCCTCTGAATCATTCACATGTTCATTAGTAAACTTCAGACGGGCATGTATATGTGCTTTCTTGAGCAGGGGGACCTTGTGGGCGCTGCAGGATTTCAGTCCTTCGCGGCATAGCGTGTTACCAATTGTTTTCTTGGTGACTATGGTCCCAGCTGCCTTGAGATCATTGACAAGATCCTCCCGTGTAGTTCTGGGCTGATTCCTCACCGTTCTCATGATCATTGCAACTCCACGAGGTGAGATCTTGCATGGAGCCCCAGGCCGAGGGAGATGGACAGTTCTTTTGTGTTTCTTCCATTTGCGAATAATCGCACCAACTATTGTCACCTTCTCACCAAGCTGCTTGGCAATGGTCTTGTAGCCCATTCTAGCCTTGTGTAGGTCTACAATCTTGTCCCTGACACCCTTGGAGAGCTCTTTGGTCTTGGCCATGGTGGAGAGTTTGGAATCTGATTGATTGATTGCTTCTGTGGACAGGTGTCTTTTATACAGGTAACAAGCTGAGATTAGGAGCACTTCCTTTAAGAGTGTGCTTCTAATCTCAGCTCGTTACCTGTATAAAAGACACCTGGGAGCCAGAAATCTTTCTGATTGAGAGGGGGTCAAATACTTATTTCCCTCATTAAAATACAAATCAATTTATAACATTTTTGACATGCGTTTTTCTGGATTTTTTTGTTGTTATTCTGCCTCTCACTGTTCAAATAAACCTACCATTAAAATTATAGACTGATCATTTATTTGTCAGTGGGCAAATGTACAAAATCAGCAGGGGATCAAATATTTTTTTCCCTCACTGTATACAAGAAAGCTGTGGGTTATACTTCCACTCTGAAAGCAATAGGGGGGGACACAGTGCACATGGCCGTTGTGTATGTTAGGCATTGAGATGTTTAATTCACAGCTGTGACTGTAATAACATTCACCTCATTTAGGGCGTTGATGCGGCTTCTGTCTATGTGGCGTTACCCCACATGATGTCTGTGTACACTTCACCTGACGTAAAGCAAAACATCATCAATCTCCATCTGTCTCTCCGTATCTCTGTCTTTGCATTTCAGTTTAAATATACACATTGTTTTTCTAAAAAAAAAATATTGCATGTGGTATCACTGTTTGTCTCAGCATCTCCATTTTTATATAAACTAGCCTCTTGCCCGTCCTAGGACGGAAGCTGTAATATTTACGAAAAAATTGAGCAGAGTTATAATTGTATCTTGTGGGTAATTTTAATGGCAGTGAATCTTGCACAAAAGTACGTCATCAAACACTTCCCTGCATTTAACTGTAGCACTGTATTAATAGCAGTGAATCTGGCGCAAAACGAAGTCATCAAACACTTCACTGCAGTTAACTGTATTACTGTATTGATGGCAGTGAATCTAGCACAAAACGAAGTCATCAAACACTTCACTGCAGTTAACTGTAGCATTCTAGATTTGAAGTTTTCGTGACTGCAAGGATCCATATTCTTTGGTTCTTTCGGTAAAGTCACGTAGGTGGAAAAAATACAAAATAAATTAAATCACGACGTTTCGATTGCAACACAAGCAATCATCATCAGGTGTGACAACCACAGCAAGAAATATTTTTTACTGGAGATTTCTTGCTGTGGTTGTCACACCTGATGATTATTGCTTGTGTTGCAATCGAAACGTCGTGATTAGATTGATTTGATTATTTTTTTATTCCACCTACGTGACTTAACTGTAGCACTTATTAATGGCAGTGTTTCTCGCACAAAACTACGTCATAAAACACCTCACTTCATGTCACTGTAGCACTGTATATAACTGACCTTCAATTTGTTCCAAATTATTCTCTTCTGCTTTCGGTCGCTGGGGTTGAAATTAATTGGAAATCGATACAATATCTGGAAAATCACTGAGAAATGTCTATTTTACCATAATCTAGAAGCATAAATTAGACTTACCTTTTGTCTCAAGTGCTGAAGAAATAAATAAAGACAACAAATCCACTTTGTTGCTGCGTATAATTATTTATTACATTCACTTTGAAGAAAGAAACGTGAAACTTAAAGCGAATTTGCGTGAGTGTAAAAATCCACCTGCTCATGAATATTAATGATGGGGGGTGGGGGGGGGCGGCATGTGAAGTGACGTCACGCAGGTTACACACCAGACATTCTTGGCTCATAGTAAGATAAGATATACTTTTCTGTTTCTCCAATTGTCTCATTAAAATAAAATTGTTAAAACCATTTCCATTTGGTGTAAAGTAAATTTTAGGAGGAATTAGCCACTGTAATTTCGACCCTTTTGTGGATTATCGGCGTTTCTAGCCTTTAAACTTTTCTGTCACGGCAAACACAAATTAACCTCCCTTAAAATGTCACTAAAAGCAGAAAACGTTGACGGGAGTGTGGGAGAACCATCACTTTTAGTGATTTATGCCATCTCAGTTTAAGTGATGTTTTATTGAAATTAAAGTTTTAAAGCAAATATTAACGGATCTAAAGTGATGTGCGAGTATTAGAATTTTTAAAGTCACGGGCTGTTTTAATAAATATATTGTATCTGTTTTAATCAGCAAAATGTCATTGCATACGTTATTTTTTGTGAGCAGAAGTCTAATACTGCATATGCTTTTTTTGCAGTTAAATATTTGAAGATACTTCGTCACTTTGGCTCTGAATTTCTCCCTCATCCTCACCAAGAATTATGTGCGGATCTGCAGATTTAAATGACATTTATCCCGCGACATAATACGCTGCAAACACTGCACGATGGAAACACCACTGTCTCTGAACAAGTACATCCAAGATATTTGTTGCACTCAATCCTACAATGATTTCATGGCAGCTTACAACATCAACAGGGCTGCAATCTGCGACCGGGCCAAGCAAAGTGCCACTGAGCATGCCAAGGAGGAGGAGGATGCTGAGTGTGCACAGCATGCGCTTAAAAGCATAGGGCTGCTGTGTACAGTCCCCTCGGCATTTCCTCACTGCAGTGAGCATGAAGTGTGGGCCGATGGCTCCACACGGGCTCAGGAGGCATGGCCAGTGCTGGAATCGATTGATCCTGCCGATGATCGGCAGCTGCTAAGTGCTGCCCCGTCAGACAGTGCAATGGGAAATCAGGATGGGAAGCCGCTCGGAGTCAGCGCTGATGCGACGGGAAGGCGGCGCTTGGATGAGATGGCAGAAGTGGCGGGTGTACAGGTAGGTTACGCCAGTGCGCTGGATTCTAAACGTGCGGACGAGTTGCAGGGGATGGGAAGTAACAAACAGCACTCGGCGGGTGACACTGTAGGATCGACAGCTTTTTCTGCGATTTGTAAATGCAGATCTGTGGCCGATGGCCGAAGTGGCGTAGCTGTGCTCCATAGTGCGAGGGAAGCACGGGGAATAATGCGTACGCACACCGAGCAAGCTCTGACATTTATCACCCTTGGCGAAGGAGATGGCAGCAGGCTCGCTCCTGTGAATGATACAGTTTCATCAGCTGGGCAAAACTGTGACCTGGTGAAGTGCACAGGTCGGCACGTAGACAACGCCAAATATTTAACCTCATTTTATGATGTTGATCTTCATAATGGTAATTTCAAGCCGGATCATAAACGAGCAGTGTGTACCAAAGGATCGTTGAATAACAACAGTGTTTTGGTAAATGTCCAGAAGGCTATGTTAAAACATGAGCCACTGCAGGGAACTTTAAAAGCAGAGGATTATTCAAAAGAAGGAATTTTGAAAGAAACCGAGGAACCACATCTACTGTTCAGAAACCCAGGTTACTATAATTACGGAGAACACTTTCCATCAGATTACAAACCTGGCAAGATAGACATTTCTGATGAATTGAGGGATCACCATTATGAAAAGATACAAGAAGTCCCTTCATTTTCAAGTGACCATCAAAAACAGGAACACGAGTTTAGAGATTGGTGTGGTGAAGATAACGGTCGGCTTGAATATTTGTCATCTTTCAAACCTAAAACACAAAACAAAGCGCAGGAAATTTGCTCAGCGAAAACCAAGTGTCCGCAGATGGGTGTGCATGGTCATGATTTTTCTGAGTTGCTGGATACCGACAAACAGGAAACCACATGCGATTTAGATGTCAAGCTGCCCGCTCGAGATGTTTCTCCAGAATACGCTCCATCAGAACTGGAATCTGACCAACCGAGTGGCGTGAAAATGAGGACAAAGACGTGGGCCGAATCCAGTCCCAAGCTGGAATTTTGTGACTTGAACAGCTTCTGTCTTCATCACGACTCGCCGACACGAAGCCCTTGCCTGCACAGTACCGTCGTGCACAGAAGGCACATCAACACACAGTACCCGATCACCACCACTCGACAACTGAGCTCCCCGGTGGCGTCCCCAGTTCTGTCGCCCATGCACAGCCCTCTTCGGTCAAGCCAAGAGCACGGCCTCTGCACCGACGCAATCCTCATGCACAATCACGAGTCGAAGGTGCGCAAGCTTGCCAAGTCGTGGGATATGACGGCCCTCAAGAATTCAGAAGTCAGTCGTTCTGCCGACTGGACCGAGGAGACGATGAGTCTGAAACAGAGACAGGAGAAGCTGCAGAAAGCTGGGTCCATGGATGCCCTTTCCTGGGGTAAAGGCGATCAGAGCAGTGACGTTTTGCGTGGCAAAATGCGTCTGGATCCCAAAGAACCTGCGCAGCCTCTAGGCTGCAATGCAGAATTCACAGGTATGTCTCCAGATGATGCTTATGGAGAGGGCTGTTTGCTTACATGATTTATCAACTGAATGGTGAAGCCTTGAATCTATTAGTGATAAGTTCAAAAGTGTCAATATTTTAGAGAGAATCGCTAAACTCTGTAACTATTGTTTGTGATAGTTTTCCATTATGCCAGCATTAATTACTGTGGTGCTTATAGAACACTTGCCTTGGCATAACAGGGAACATTGATCTGTTGGTCAACAGCGTGGGTATTTCATATATATTTTTTCAGTAACCTTGCACAAATGACAGGTTTAGTTTAATATATATTGCCATTATCGAGGGAAAGATGGGTCACTGTGAACCCGGTGACCCGAGTTCGATTCCCAGCCATGGCTAACTTCAGTGAGGAATCATATCTCAAGCAGTCTTTGGCTTCCTCCTTTTACCAGCCGTATTGAGCGGCACTGTAAAGCACGGTCAAATAGCCCGGGTGGCTGACACGGCGTGGGGAGACCTTAAAGCGATAGACTAGTGGTGGCCAACTGGCATCTCCCGAGCCGCATGCGGCTCCGTCGAAAGGGCATAACGTAGAACGCACCATTACAGTAGCAAAAATGTTTTTTTTATGTCTCCCGTGCTGTGCTGAAAACTGCCAATATATACACATTTATATTTACACGTGGCGCTTTGCAGAACTGATGGTTACTTTTTGGCTCTTGGTCTGTTACAGGTTGGCCACCCCTGTATTAGACGAACAAGTTTCAATTACATTTTTCTTAGCTGAATAATTAAATTAGCTATAGTAATTTAAAACCAAAATATCCAGTCGGCAGCGATGTGTTTTTTATATACTTCTAGCTAATCTAATTAAAATGTTGACAACATTATACAGTACTGTTGCTGTTTTATTTACCAACGCAGTGTAGGGAGATGTTGACCTCTTTGTATTTTGTGCATTAGGGAGGGCGCTGTTGGAATGGGTTATCCGTTCGATCCCCGATGGAGATGTTATCAGCTCTCAGGAGAAACAGGAAGAGGCTCGCAGACTCTGCTCGAAGCTCCTGCACGCTGGGCTTCTCTGCGTAGCGAGGCGTTCACCAGAGCTGAAATCCACAACGTTTTCTGCAGAAAATTCACCACCTTTTCAGGTACGGTTACTTTTCATTGCCGTGGCAATTAAAACTTGTTGCATCCTTGCAGAGGGTTTGTGGTTCGTGCCCAGCGGATGCCCGTGACTATTACTGCGGGCAGATTAGCCGAAAATGTCAACGGTCCAAATTTGGCTTTATCGCAACATCGCCCCCTACGGTGAAAGTACCATAGATTATTGTCGTCTGCTGAAACGTCGTGCATTCGTGATAGCGAATACCAAATATACTAATTGTGTGATTTAGCTTTCCTTGGGAAACAGCTTAGTTGTCTCCCTGCTCAAACGGGCAATGGGGCAGCACTCATCTCTGTCATTGTGCCTTAGCTGGTCGTGGATATGACACATTCCCATGGTGGTGGGTGCCAGTTTATCCATGCGATGGCCACAGGGTGGTATGCATTTTATTGGCGATCTCTGACAGGGGTTTGAACTGTCAACTCCTAATTTGGTTGAACGCTCAGAGCACAACGCGATCTCTGACAGGGGTTTGAACTGTCAACTCCTAATTTGGTTGAACGCTCTGAGCACAACGCCACTCGGCCAGATCTTAAGGAGATGAGCTTCATGAAATATTTGTTTTTCCATTCGAGCTGTGCTGTGTGATTACTTGATTGATTGATTGATTCTGCTCCAGATTATCGGTTCAATTACTCGACCTGGCATGACTACAGTCCCGCGGCTCTTCCTTGAAAAAGTGTTCACAGGAAATATTCTTGTGTTGTCACGGAGATAATATTTCACGAATCTTTAAGCAACAGCTATTAAATGTGAGGAATGCCCAGTGCCTTTGAGTCCTAGTTTGTTCAACACTACTGTTGGATTTATTAAGGCACGAGTGACATCGCTGTGATGTCACTCCCATTTGTTTTACTACAATTTTTTTTACGGTATAATTTCAAAGAGTGATGTATATCTATGATGTGTGTCCCCATGCTGTCTGGCAATGAGTTTGAAGCTTGGCTGATGATTACAAAAAACACTTAATGTGACTCTCAGGAATGCCCTTGTGATGTTGTCCCTGTACTGTGCCACACTATTGTAATTGTTTTTATACGCTATCGCTGGAGAGATATCACAAACGTCACTGCAGAGTCCTTTTTTCCCCCCATCATTAACGAAGCTTTCAGCTCATGTGGAACAGACTGGCACACACAGCTATTTTGTGTACTCGATTAGAACGACTTGTTTTTTTTTGGGTCTTGTATTCCTTTAATAACGTGATATTTTTAGACGTTGTGTTATTTTTCCGTGTGCGATATTGATGCTGCAGATAATTTATACTCGCGCACGCACATCCAGCGCTAGCTGTGAGAGCGGACTGGTATCGATGGCTGCCCTGTAAAAAGTGCAGTGTTTTATTTGCATCCTAATCAATAATGTACGGCGAGAGCTGCGTTCCAAAACCTGCAAAGGTTAATTTTTTTCATGGCCACTCGTGTGCCTATTTGCAGTTGTACAGTGAGGGGAAAAAAGTATTTGATCCCCTGCTGATTTTGTACGTTTTGCCCACTGATAAAGAAATGATCAGTCTATAATTTTAATGGTAGGTTTATTTGAACAGTGAGAGACAGAATAGCAACAACAAAATCCAGAAAAACGCATGTCAAAAATGTCATGAATTGATTTGCATTTGAATGAGGGAAATAAGTATTTGACCCCTCTGCAAAACATGTCTTAGTACTTGGTGGCAAAACCCTTGTTGGCAATCACAGAGGTCAGGCGTTTCTTGTAATTGGCCACCAGGTTTGCACACATCTCAGGAGGGATTTTGTCCCACTCCTCTTTGCAGATCTTCTCCAAGTCATTAAGTTGTCGAGGCTGACGTTTGTCAACTCGAACCTTCAGCTCCCTCCACAGATTTTCTACGGGATTAAGGTCTGGAGACTGGCTAGGCTACTCCAGGACCTTAATGTGCTTCTTCTTGAGCCACTCCTTTGTTGCCTTGGCCGTGTTTTTTTGGTCATTGTCATGCTGGAATACCCATCCACGACCCATTTTCAATGCCCTGGCTGAGGGAAGGAGGTTCTCATCCTTTGATGCGGTGAAGTTGTCCTGTCCCCTTAGCAGAAAAACACCCCCAAAGCATAATGTTTCCATCTCCATGTTTGACGGTGGGGATGGTGTTCTTGGGGTCATAGCCAGCATTCCTCCTCCAAACACGGCGAGTTGAGTTGATGCCAAAGAGCTCTATTTTGGTCTCATCTTACCACAACACTTTCACCCAGTTGTTCTCTGAATCATTCAGATGTTCATTGGCAAACTTCAGACGGGCATGTATATGTGAATTTCTTGAGCAGGGGGACCTTGCGGGCGCTGCAGGATTTCAGTCCTTCACGGCGTAGTGTTACCAATTGTTTTCTTGGTGACTATGGTCCCAGCTGCCTTGAGATCATTGACAATATCCTCTCGTGTAGTTCTGGGCTGATTCCTCACCGTTCTCATGATCATTGCAACTCCACGAGGTGAGATCTTGAATGGAGCCCCAGGCCGAGGGAGATTGACAGGTCTTTTGTGTTTCTTCCATTTGCGAATAATCGCACCAACTGTTGTCACTTTCTCACCAAGCTGCTTGGCGATGGTCTTGTAGCCCATTCCAGCCTTGTGTAAGTCTACAATCTTGTCCCTGACATCCTTGGAGAGCTCTTTGGTCTTGGCCATGGTGGAGAGTTTGGAATCTGATTGGTTTCTAGATTTGAAGCTTTCGTGACTGCAAGGATCCATACTCTTTGGTTCTATTCGGTACAGTCACGTAGGTAAAAAATAAAACAACAAAAATCACGACGTTTCGGCCACAACACAAGTGGCCTTCATCAGGTAAAGGGGCCGTGCTGTCACGAAGACAGCGTAGGAATTAAGAAAGTCAAGCCAGGTCGCGTCCTTTAAGCTGTGTGGGAGGAAAGCAAACGCTTTGAACAAAGGAATTAGCATAAAGTGCTGATAGAGCACCTAACACGGGGGGGAGGGGAGTTTACAAACGTTGTTTTGAAGGGAAAAATAGGCTGCTGTGAAAGTTTGGTATATCACTACTTGGATAAATATACTGTACCATTGAAAATTAGTTTAATGTTTGGTATGATTTAGAACATCTTTCCAATGATTGCTTAATTTGAAACCATCTTCTCGGTTGAAATTGTGTCTGTGTTTGTAAATCTGAATTGCCTCGTGGACAAATCTCTGATGATAACCTATAGGTTTGCAAAGGACCTTGGCATCGGAGAACACTATATCGTGATCACCCACAGCGTTGTAACAGTGGTCAGCCATGGCAGAAGAATTCGTTCTGCCGTGTTTCAAATCTGATTTGTGCTCGCGAATTCGGTCAGAGACATGTCGCTTCGTCTCCCCGATATAGCAATCACCACAAGTGCAGCTCAATTTGTAAACCCCGGGGTACTGTAAGTCAGGAATGACATCCTTCACGGATGGGATCTGGTCACGGATTTTGTGTACTGTATTGAACCGGACCAGGATCTTGTGTTTGTTTAGAATTTTGGAGATCTTTTTAGTAACGTCTGCTATATATGGTAGTGTGATGGTTTTGACCGGAGTATCAAGTGGTTGTTTCTGTATGGAGGGAGAAACAGCTTGGCGGATGGTACTGTCAGAGTATCCGTTTCTCTTGAGGGCCAGGTGTACATGTTTTAATTCACTGGTCAGGTGGTGTTGGTCCGAAATGCAATGAGCCCTGTGGTATAACGTTTTGATTAGAGAATTCTTTTGAGCTGGGTGGTGGTGGGAATCAGGCTTCAAGTAGGAATCTGTGTGGGTGGGTTTCCTGTAGACAGAATGCCCCAATGAGCCATCAGGTCTCCTCTCAAACAGAACATCCAAGAATGGTAGCTTGCCATCTTTCTCTACTTCCATGGTGAATTTGATGGTGGGATGTCTGGAATTGATGTGGTGTAGAAAAAGGTTCAAAGCTGGGAGGCCATGTGGCCAAATGACGAAAGTGTCATCCATATATCTCTTCCACAGGGAAGGTCTGAGGGTGGAAGTCTGGATGGCGTCTGATTCAAATTTCTCTATGAAAACATTGGCTATCACTGGTGATAAGGCAGAACCCATGGGGGTACCCTCATTTTGTTTGTAGAAGGTGCCATTCCAAGTAAAGTATGTATTGATGAGGCAGTGTCTAACCAGTGCAGGTGTATCGGGGTCTAGTCCATGTTGTACCAAATTTTCAATGATTTCAATGGTATCAGGTACCGGGACCTTGGTGAACAGGGAGACCACATCGAAGCTGACAAGGATATCATCAGGGCACAGTACAACGTCTTTGACCATAGAGACCAATTGGGCTGAGTTAAGTACTGCTGAGGAGGTCTTGCCAGTGAAAGGTAGCAAGGTATCTGACAGAAAACGTGCTAGCTTATAGGTAGGGGAGTTGATCGTGGATACGATGGGTCGTAGTGAAGTTCCTTCTTTATGAATCTTGGGGAGACCATAGAATCTAGGGGGTCTAGCAGCAGAAGGTTTTAGGGAGGGACGTTTAGTTTGTTCGATTAGGGAGGTCGAACTTGTGATGATCTTGTTGGTTTTTATAGTAAGGCTATTAGTAGGGTCATTTTTAATTTTTGAGTAACTTCTATGGTTGAGTAGGTTCTGGATTTTGTTGTTGTACGAATCTTTATCCATAATTACAGTAGCGTTGCCTTTGTCGGCTGCGAGGATTACTATATCACTTCTGTTTTTTAAATTCGCGAGTTCAGAGCGTTCATTTTTGCTGATGTTGCTAATGAGTTTCTTAGCATTCTTAAGAATAGTGGCTATGTCAGCTCTCGCAACGTCTGCTTGGATGTGTCCTATGCCTTTGAGGACTACATCGACTTGAGAGATGATATCATCTACAGGAATATGTTTCGGGGTGACAGCAAAATTTAGCCCTCTAGCCAGTACTGTTTTCATATTGTCCGAAATCGGGGTGTTACTCTGATTAATGACGATTTTGTTAACGTCTAGTACTTAACTCAGCCCAATTGGTCTCTCTGGTCAAAGACGTTGTACTATCCCCTGACGATATCCTTGTCGGCTTCGATGTGGTCTCCCTGTTCACCAAGGTCCCGGTACCTGATACCATTGAAATAATTGAAAATTTGGTACAACATGGACTAGACCCCGATACACCTGCGCTGGTTAGACACTGCCTCACCAATACATACTTTACTTCGAATGGCACCTTCTACAAACAAAATGAGGGTACCCCCATGGGTTCTCCCTTATCACCAGTGATAGCCAATGTTTTCATGGAGAAATTTGAATCAGATGCCATCCAGTCTTCCACCCTCAGACCTTCCCTGTGGAAGAGATATGTGGATGACACTTTCGTCATTTGGCCACATGGCCTCCCAGCTTTGAACCTTTTCCTACACCACATCAATTCCAGACATCCTGCCATCAAATTCACCATGGAAGTGGAGAAAGATGGCAAGCTACCATTCTTGGATGTTCTGTTTGAGAGGAGACCTGATGGCTCATTAGGGCATTCTGTCTACAGGAAACCCACCCACACAGATTCCTACTTGAAGCCTGATTCCCACCACCACCCAGCTCAAAAGAATTCTCTAATCAAAACGTTATACCACAGGGCTCATTGCATTTTGGACCAACACCACCTGACCAGGTGGTGTACACCTGGCCCTCAAGAGAAACGGATACTCTGACCGTACTATCCGCCAAGCTGTTTCTCCCTCCATACAGAAACAACCACTTGATACTTCGGTCAAAACCATCACACTACCATATATAGCAGACGTTACTAAAAAGATCTCCAAAATTCTAAACAAACACAAGATCCTGGTCTGGTTCAATATAGTACACAAAATCCATGACCTGATCCCATCCGTGAAGGATGTCATTCCTGACTTACAGTACCCCAGGGTTTACAAATTGAGCTGCACTTGTGGTGATTGCTATATCGGGGAGACGAAGCGACATGTCTCTGACCGAATTCGCGAGCACAAATCAGATTTGAAACACGGCAGAACGAATTCTTCTGCCGTGGCTGACCACTGTAACAACGCTGTGGGTGATCACGATATAGTCTTCTCCGATACCAAGGTCCTTTGCAAACCTATAGGTTATCATCAGAGATTTGTCCACGAGGCAATTCAGATTTACAAACACAGACACAATGTCAACCGAGAAGATGGTTTCAAATTAAGCAATCATTGGAAAGATGTTCTAAATCATACCAAACATCAAACTAATTTTCAATGGAACAGTATATTTATCCAAGTAGTGATATACCAAACTTTCACAGCAGCTTATTTCCCTTCAAAACAACGTTTGTAAACTCCCCTCCCCCCGTATTAGGTGCTCTATCAGCACTTTATGCTAATTCCTTTGCTCAAAGCGTTTGCTTTCCTCCCACACAGTTTAAAGGACGCGACCTGGCTTGACTTTCTTAATTCCTACGCTGTCTTCGTGACAGCACGGTCCCTTCACCTGATGAAGGCCACTTGTGTTGTGGCCGAAACGTCGTGATTTTTGTTGTTTTATTTTTTACATACGTGACTTTACCCGAATAGAACCAAAGAGTATGGATCTGATTGGTTGATTGCTTCTGTGGACAGGTGTCTTTTATACAGGTAACAAGCTGAGATTAGGAGCACTCCCTTTAAGAGTGTGCTCCTAATCTCAGCTCGTTACCTGTATAAAATACACCTGGGAGCCAGAAATCTTTCTGATTGAGAGGGGGTCAAATACTTATTTCCCTCATTAAAATGCAAATCAATTTATAACATTTTTGACATGCATTTTTCTGGATTTCTTTGTTGTTATTCTATCTCGCACTGTTCAAATAAACCTACCATTAAAATTATAGACTGAACATTTCTTTGTCAGTGGGCAAACGTACAAAATCAGCAGGGGATCAAATACTTTTTGTCCCTCACTGTATAGCCTCAGGGGCAATTTGTGTTGATGAGAATGTTTTGCAGTTTTTTTGAGATGCAATGCAATACTCGAGCACACGGGGTTGTGAAGTGGTCTGTGTTCAGTCAAAATTCAGATGCCGTCCAAATCCAGCATGGATGCTGCTGCTGTGTTTGTAAATTGTTAGCACACCGCGTTTGATTTCACCTCCCGGCGCGGCAGTTGGAACTATGGGGCAAGTTTCTAAAATATCTGGCCCACTGCCTCCGTCCACCCAGCTGTATAAATTGGTAACACCACAGTTAGGTGGAAAAAAAAATCACGTGCGGTGGAGTAAAATGTGTGTGAACTCCAACATCTACCCAAAGGTCTGACCAGTGTGGAAGAAGTAAGCCGAATTCCCTCGGCAGGGGCTGTTTAGAGCTCTGTCGAGGGGGAGGCCCATCCGCTAACAGTGGCGTTAGCATGTGATCGCAGGGCTGCACCTGTACCTTTACCTTCCTTTAAGGCAGAGGAGCTGTATGCCTGGGCGGCTGTGGGTGGTGAGAGAAGAGCGGCTTGGGACGACAGCCCTCCGCAGAGACTGCAGGCAGGCTGGCCTTCATTCAAGTCCGGAGAAGCTTCTTCCGCCCAAGCTGACTCGGCGCATTTGGTGGAAGGTGAGATTAATGAACGGTGGGGCTGCGAGGTGGCCAGGCGATGACGCTTAACATTTAGATGCGATGCAATGGATGGAGTCCATGTGTTTATTGAATCCATCTGTGAGGATCCTTCAGTGTCATAACTACTCTGGAGTCTCTACGTTTCATTCTACATGTGGAAATAAAAAAAGAATCAATGGATTTAAATTTTGATTTAAAGCTTTCGTGACTGCAGTAATTCATATTCTTAGCTCTTTCGGTAAAGTCACGTTGAAGGGAAACAATAAAACAATAAAATATATATATAAAACAATAAAAAATTATCACGACGTTTCGACCATAACACAAACGGTCGTCATCAGGTGTGTCGGTTTGCATATATATTATTATTCATTGTTTATATATTATTATTTTATTGTTTCCCTTCAACGTGACTTTACCGAAAGAGCTAAGAATAAGAATCAATGGAATTGGTGGCAAAGCATCCCAATGGGGGGGACCCTTCTAAAGAGGAGCCCTGAGACTCTGTGTGGCCTTCTTGGGCAATTAAAGTGCGTCATACTGGTAGGAACGAAGTTGTAAACTGAGTGTACCAGCCTGCAATAGATTAATGTGTCCGCCCGTCCGTCCGTCCGTCCATCCGTCCCCTTTCAATACTTTAACGAAGTGAAATCTCGTGCTGTTGGGTGTATAATTTGTCCGAAGAACCCTCAACGATTTTGAGGGCAAAAAGGTGGGAAGACACTCTCAATTTGCACAATTTTACATAACAATGTCATAAAATTGCGCAAAATTCCAATGTTCCTACCAGCCCACCCTGCAGGGACCTGTTTATTACTACTAAGAGTTCAGAGCTTACTGATATATTCATTAAAGCTCCCCCCCCCCTTCTCCCCCCACAGGCTATTTAACTCATATATGTATATTGTAATGAATTTCAATCTTTAATTGCATTTTAAGAAAGGATTACCAGATTTAATTTTAATTTGGGTAATTCTGTCATTTATTACAGGTGTTGAAATGCTATTGTTTGTTTTGCAAACTGAATTTGAACATGTAGGCTTTCGCGACCAATATCATCCATAATATAGGTTTTTTTAGGTTAGATCACGGAAATATAAATGTGTCGTTAAAACCGCCACCACCCGACACAGCCAATTAGTAAGGTTTGTCACGTAAACAGAATATGCCAATTCGTTACTAGTGCAGCACACTGGTGTGTTGGAGAGAAAAATTTAAAAATATATACAGTAAGGGAAAAAAGTATTTGATCCTCTGCTGATTTTGTACGTTTGCCCACTGACAATGAAATGATCAGTCTATAATTTTAATGGTAGGTTTATTTGAACAGTGAGAGACAGAATAACAACAAAAAAATCCAGAAAAACGCATGTCAAAAATGTTATAAATTGATTTGCATTTTAATGAGGGAAATAAGTATTTGACCCCTCTGCAAAGCATGACTTAGTACTTGGTGGCAAAACCCTTGTTGGCAATCACAGAGGTCAGACGTTTCTTGTAGTTGGCCACCAGGTTTGCACACATCTCAGGAGGGATTTTGTCCCACTCCTCTTTGCAGATCTTCTCCAAGTCATTAAGGTTTCGGCTGACGTTTGGCAACTGAAACCTTCAGCTCCCTCCACAGATTTTCTATGGGATTAAGGTCTGGAGACTAGCTAGGCCACTCCAGGACCTTAATGTGCTTCTTCTTGAGCCACCCCTTTGTTGCCTTGGCTGTGTGTTTTGAGTCATTGTCATGATGGAATACCCATCCACAACCCATTTTCAATGCCCTGGCTAAGGGAAGGAGGTTCTCACCCAAGATTTGACAGTACATGGCCCCGTCCATCGTCCCTTTGATGCGGTGAAGTTGTCCTGTCCCCTTAGCAGAATAACGCCCCCAAAGCATAATGTTTCCACCTTCATGTTTGACGGTGGGGATGGTGTTCTTGGGGTCATAGGCAGCATTCCTCCTCCTCCAAACACGGCGAGTTGAGTTGATGCCGAAGAGCTCCATTTTGGTCTCATCTTACCACAACACTTTCACCCAGTTGTTCTCTGAATCATTCAGATGTTCATTGGCAAACTTCAGACGGGCATGTATATGTGCTTTCTTGAGCAGGGGGACCTTGCGGGCGCTGCAGGATTTCAGTCCTTCACGGCGTAGTGTGTTATCAATTGTTTTCTTGGTGACTATGGTCCCAGCTGGAGAGCTCTTTGGTCTTGGCCATGGTGGAGAGTTTGGAATCTGATTGATTGCTTCTGTGGACAGGTGTCTTTTATACAGGTAACAAGCTGAGATTAGGAGCACTCCCTTTAAGAGTGTGCTCCTAATCTCAGCTCGTTACCTGTATAAAAGACACCTGGGAGCCAGAAATCTTTATGATTGAGAGGGGGTCAAATACTTATTTCCCTCATTACAATGCAAATCAATTTATAACATTTTTGACATGCATTTTCTGGATTTTATTGTTGTTATTCTGTCTCTCACTGTTCAAATAAACCTACCATTAAAATTATAGACTGATCATTTCTTTGTCAGTGGGCAAACGTACAAAATCAGCAGGGGATCAAATACTTTTTTTCCCTCACTGTATATAACTGTAAAGTCCAGAGAAATCTCAAGACACTTCACACTCTCTAGCTCTGGCTCCCAGTGCCTCTCACATGTTTCCAAGCTTAAAGAATCACCTTGGAGGAAAAACAGCTTCCTCGTGACCTTGAAGCAACGTGTTTGAACGAACGGTTTGAGGGGTGAGGCGAACAGATGGAGATGTACGGACGAACGGACGCACGGACGGACATCGTCATAACGGCTTGGAAAGTGTTTATAAGGGAAAGGTCCGGATTGTTAAGTGTCAGTTTTATTTTCTTGCAGAATATCGAAAGAAAATCCTTCGAATGAAGCAGAAGCACGAGGGGGCTGTGTCACGTGCAGAGGTCAGCAAAGGAGTTGTAACGTAACAATTGAACAAATTACTTGCAATTAACAAGCAACTTGATGCATTTGTCAATCGTGATGTGGCCTTAAAGGGAAAGTGTATAATAATAGTCAACGTTTGGGGCAATGGCCCTCTTTCATAGCATATGAATGTGATTTGACGTTAAAAGTGTATGAGATTCAAGTGTTGCAGTGGATACAGCATCGTGAGCATCATTATTATTATTATTATACATCACCGCGAACTCTCCTGTATGTCCATTGGCTATCAAGTCCTAAGAATAACATTTAAACATTTGTGTTATCATACTTATTGAATGTGTATGTAAAGTTATGAGGTTTTTCTTTGATGTATATTGATTATATTTGAAGCATTGTTTTTCGATATAATTTTGTTTACACAGTGCAATTTGTTTGCTGTGTGTTCCCGTACTTATTTAAATTAGTGTCTTCCTTGAGAAAGACACTCCTGGTCTGAATGGGCTGCTTTTACTTGGTCATGAAGGTCCGCTGCCTAAAATCTGTAAATGATGAGAAAACCCATGACAACAGAAAACTTTAATGCAGTCTGGAAACGAATAGATTTTAAAATACACAAAGGCATGCAGCGTCCTATATGCAAAAAAGCCTTTTGTCAAGAGTTGAGAGTGTTGCCCCATGGTGTAAAGGCAAGTCCTATCCACATATTATGCTCCCAGAGGATGTGGCAGCAGCCTACATTGATAGCTGCACTGTACTGACGAGTCCTAATGAATACAAAGTGCCGGTCTACAGCTGTGTCTTTGTTTCACTGCTGTCTGCTGGGGGTGGCTACATTTGATCAATTTGTTGAGTCCGTGGTCCTAAACGACAGCATAGCCCCACGATCAGTTCCTTTGAGCCGGTGGTATGGTTAAGGCTGAAAGCTTGTGTACATGCGGTGCAGTGCACCTTTGTGTCTTGTTGCATCTATTCTATGCATGGGTTGAGGATGATATCTCATTCGAAAATTTGAGCCACGTATAATTCATGAACTATTGTTATACCGACATAGGGGCCCCGGGAAGATGTGCGTTTTCATGCAACTCGCAATAAGGCCCAGGGTATCGCCTCCCTCACAAACTCGTACGTTTGTAGTAAATAGAGAGTCGTCGGGTAATGTTGCTGTGGTGTGATTCTTAGCACTCTGGACTTGTAATCCCACAGGTTGCAGGTGCAATCTCCCGGCACGGCAATTGCAATGGGCAAGTTTCTTTGAACCTCCCATCCCCTCCCCCACCCGCCTCTCTCCACCCAGTAAAACAAACGGTTAGCACCACAGTTAGCTGATGAGGGGGGGGGGGGGGGGGGGGGGGGGTAAAGCATGGGTGCTCCCACCGCTTCAGAGGTGTTCGGTCCAGCGTTGACGGAGCAGGCCAAACTACTTCTGTAAATGTTGAAAATGTGTGTTTTCAGAGAATACACGAATGTAGAGTCTTTCACTTGAATGGAGAGCATACAAGGGAGCTCACGAGGCTGGAGCATAAGATCACGGACTTGAGGAGAAGGATTTCTGAGCTGGCCGACATCAACAGCAATTGCCTGGGACGTCACGGCACCGTGAGGGACGCGGCCGCCCACGCGGAGGCCCACGGGACACAGGGCATGAACGCTCAGACGCAGACGGATGCGACGGCGCACGCGACGAAGATGTCCGAGACAAGATCGGTTCAGACATCTCCCGAAAAGATGGTTTCCCCGCTCGGCACGCTATTCTACGGCGAAGAGCCCTCGAGGGCGAACGCGGCGTGCTCTCCGCAGGCCGAGAACACCCCGAGACCAAAGTCGTGCTTCCAGGCTAAAGTATCGCGTAAAGTCGGCCCGCCTGCTTCATTTCCCTTCTACGAACCCTCGCCTAAGTCGGCCCCAAAAATGCCCAAGGCAGGGGGCTCTAACACATCTCCACCTTTGCCTGCGGTCGACAATGTAAATTCCACAACTTGTGGAGACCCAAAGCTTCCTCATCCACTTCCTACAGACTGCTGCCTCCCAGCTATGTCTGAAGGCTCCATTCCTCTCCCCCCTTCTTTTATTCCTCCAACTATTCCTGTGGATTTGATTCCTTCGCCTCCTCACGGTCCTCCACCTCCTCCTCCCCCTCTTCCTCCTCTGCTGCCTCCTCTTCCTGGGGGCTCCATTCCTCCACCTCCCCCTCTTCCTCCTCTTCCTACGGGTTTCATCCCTCCTCCTCCACCTCTTCCTCCTGTTCCTTTGGGCTTCGTCCCTCCTCCCCCTCCTCCTCCACCTCTTCCTGGTGGCTTCATCCCTCCTCCTCCACCTCTTCCTGGTGGCTTCATCCCTCCTCCTCCACCTCTTCCTCCTGTTACTTTGGGCTTCGTCCCTCCTCCCCCTCCTCCCCCTCCTCCCCCTCCACCTCTTCCTGGAGGCTTTATCCCTCCTCCTCCACCTCTTCCTGGAAGCGTTATCCCTCCTCCTCCACCACTTCCTGGAGGCTTCATCCCTCCTCCACCACCTCTCCCTGGCGGCCATATCCCTCCTCCTCCACCTCTTCCTGGAAGCGTTATCCCTCCTCCTCCACCACTTCCTGGAGGCTTCATCCCTCCTCCACCACCTCTCCCTGGCGGCCATATCCCTCCTCCTCCACCTCTTCCTGGAAGCTCCATCCCTCCCCCTCCTCCACCTCTTCCTGGAAGCTCCTTCCATCCTCCTCCTCCTCCACCACTTCCCGGTGGCTGCATCCCTCCCCCTCCCTTTCCACCTCCGCCCCCTGGAGTGTCTGCCCCGCCGCTCCTCGCTCACCCGGGTGCCTTGTCAAGTGCGTCGCACGACGGCGTTGGCTTCCCGCACAGAGGAGGGCATCAGGCGGCATTCCCGCACGGCTTGGCGCTGCAGCGGCCCTCTGTGGAGCCGCACCTTCCGATGAAACCGCTGTACTGGGTGCGCGTTCAGCTCAGAGATAGAAGGTACCTTCCTAATGCTGTGTTAAAAGGCAAAAAACTAGGAATGCAACATGTCTTGTCTGCTCGATATGCGGGTTTCCCTCACTTTATGCAGTAGATGCGTTCTGCAATGCACAAAGCAGAGTCACGTAGAGTAGACCGCCCAACCCACAATTCACCGCACAATGAACCACAATGCCTTGCTGATCTCGTCAAGGAGCATAAATTATCGCACAAACTCTGATCATCCTCGCAGTGGCTTTTGGCTAACCATCGATGCATTTCTTGCGGCCGTCTGTAACACTCTTCCCATATTAGAAATGCATGCACTTTTTAGTCATCTAGATTGAAAACGAATTTAATTTTTTGTCCTTCCCCCGCACCTCCGATTAGCATGGTTGACTATGTACAGTGCAAAAGAAGTTCAACATATACATACAAGTAGCGCATACAGTAAACAAACAGTGAAAGTGGATGGTCAGCAGGAGACGGAGGAGACTTTTGCGATGGAATAGCAGCCACAGGAAGAAGAAACATGCCCTAGAGGACGACTACCATGGAGAAATAATGTGTGCAGATGCTAGATGGATTGTGTCTTCACAGGACAGAGGGATGGCAATGAGCGTGGGCAAGCCTTCTTCCAGCAGTGTATAGAACATGGCTGGTGATGATGAAGCATGGATCCTTATAGCCAAGCAGTTAGGGAATTTTATACCAAGATCAAACATTAAAAGGTTACGTCGATTAAAAAAATCCAATTTCACGTGATAAATGGGATACGAATCAAATTGGCTGATGTCTGGGCAATAAACTCTGAATGCACCATGTCCTTTCCCAGAGGCATTGATGATCATGGCCTTCCATTCAGCTCTGCCCATAATATTACTCTAGAACTTTGCATGAGTTACTCCTCCCAGTTGCATCCAACTGTTTAAATTGCTCATGTGACTCAATTCGCTGTCTTCTGCGGGCTTCTTGTACCTCTAATTGTGGCAGTCAAAACATTATACGTTGTCCTTTATTTTCTTATATCATGTCAAAGAAATCTAACTTGCTTTTCTCTGTTTATTCTTATTAATGATGTTGTCAATTAAAAGTCTGAATACAAATAGTTTTGGTGTAGCTTTGGCGTGCACTGTCTAAAAAAAAAAATCACCAAACTGGGTTTGATTCCCGGACGTGGATAACGTCAGTGACAAGTGATATCTAAACCCGGTACGTATATGTATGTACTGTGAACTTCTTTCGTACCGTACGTAGCCAACCATGCTAATCGGAGGTGCGGGGGGAGGGACACCAGACTAAACATCAAAAGCGGCACCAGTACACCCTCTTCACCATCGCGATGTGACCCAAGTGGTGAAGAATGGTGAAATGACCCTACTAACCAACCAGGCTGTATTCTCAGCTCCCTTAACCCTTACATGCAATTTTAGCATCCTCTGCTTTAACTTAAACTCGTCAAGGTCAGGGGCTTCTATTTGCCGTGCCATCAACCGACAATCCTCTCGTGTTTGTTGTATTTTTCTGACTCGATGTCTTTACATTGCAGAGCACTGTCGTCTTTAATGTAAGGTTATTTTGATTGCAGGTCAGATACCGCAAAGACCATCTGGGATGGTTTGGATGAGGCAAAGATAAATCCTTTGGAGTTCGAAGAACTTTTCTCCAAAAAATCCGTGAAAGAGAAAAAGAAGCCGCTCTTCGACGTGTTCAGCAAAAAGTCTAAAACCAAGCAAGTGAGTCGCTCTTTAAAATTCTTAAGCATAATGTTGGCCGTCTGCCGCTTGTTTGCAGAGGTTTGTGGTTCGAGCCCACCAGCTGCCCTGGTTAATACTGCGGATGTATTATAATAGTAATAACAATAATGAACACAATTCATAGCGCGCACATATTTCACAAATCGGATTCAATCTTCGATAGAAAATCTCGCGAGGCGCGGATCAAGAACTTTAAAGCATTAACCAAGGAATTTACCGCCGTTTGCTTTGCGTTGGACGGTCAAGATCCCGTGATATAAATTCGCAAAGAGTGGGCAATTTGTGCTGGTGTCACGGTCCAAATTTGCCAAATTTACTGGCATATTACCTCATTGGGTAAAGTCACATGGCACTATCGTGCCCCCCCTCTACTGCTCTTAAACTACTACGGACTGTTATCACCTGTGAGCCTTAGCGCCTTATCCAATGTTCATAGACGTTGGAGCTTAGAAGAATTTTAACATGTAGACTTTCGCGACCAATATTATCCATAATAAAGGTTTTTTTGTGTTGGATCACATAAATATAAATGTGCCGTTAAACCCGCCACCACCTGATACAGTCAATTGGTAAGGCTTTCCATTTAAACAAACGTGCCAATGAGTTACTACAGCACACCCGGTGTGTTGGAGAGTAAAGTCACAACATTTACAACAAATCGAGTACGACGTTTCGCTGGTGATTGCAAGCAGCTTCATCGGGAGATTAGCCAGAATTGTGAAGGAAGTCTTTTATCGAAGAACGGTACAACAATGTTTTTTTTTATGCTGCACTGTCCTCTGCTGCCCAACCACGTGGCCCCACAACAGACGACAACAACTTGTTGCACATTGTTGGTCACCCATTCTAGCATTCTCAAGGAGCTCAAGCCTGCGTAGCTTTCGAGCTCAGGACACCGGGAATGTTCTGGGAGATTTGATCACAGGGCCATTTGCATCATATACAGCAAACCCTTGTTAATTCGACACATCTGTGGCTCTGGCCTTGCCGAATTATCCAATATTACGAGTTATTTACAATGGTACTCCTCAGTGCCTCCTGCCCCAATAAAAATGTTTTTTTTCCGAATTTTCCAAAAATTATTTTCCCAAAAAGGTAACACTTACCATGAGTAACCAGCACTGCAGGCAAAGAAGGAGGATGTGGTAGGTTCCATTTTGGTAGGTAACAGAGGTTGTGGAGGGGGGCTTAATGCACCTAGTATGTACTTACTGTATTGTATGTTCAAGGTGCTTGATTTAATGTCAAACTCTTCACACACTATACGCATTGACACACTTGCATCGATTCTATCCAAAACTTCGGATTTGACCCGCAGACTAAGGGATTTATACTTCAATCCCTTTCTAATACTTCTTGGTGTAGGTGTAGATGAGATTTCTGAAAGGGTTGGCTTGCACAGCGTGCATAAACAATGTAAAGTTCAAAGCAACAGGTCTGCACTAACGCTCACCGTGCGCGCCTCCACTCGACGGAGTTGTTGTTTTGGTCGTGGCGTGCAGTGTCGCTCCATGTGTATGCCGAAATTGGACCATTCGGTACGGCAATTCGGCTCGTGGCGAATTACTTTTCCACAATATATATTCCGAAATTGCAGCCGTGCCGAAATATCCCCAATTACGAATGATAAAATTATCGTAATGATGAGGCTTTACTGTAATGCGAAAATGACTTGAAAATAATAGCTTTTAATTTATATAAAAATCGATTCGCCTGGTTGTTCGGATACATAAAGCATGTGCCGGTCACACTTCATACCTTGTAAACATTTACTTTGTGTATTTTTGTAGATATAAGCGGGTAAAACTAACTTAGTATCAAATATGTACACAGCTGTAATCAGAATCTGAATATTTATACTGGAAGAATCCGATGAGCTGTGAAGCTCTTTTTTCACAGATGTCCAGTAGGGGCAGGTCAGAACCTAACAAGAACAAATAATACTAGAACACGATAGGAGTACAATTTATAGGCTGATGATGAAGTTCGTTGTAATTACTAGCGAAACGTCGTACTCCGATTGTAAATGTTATGGATTGCCCTCCCACACACCGGTGTGTTGTACTAGTGTAGTGACATTGGGGATGTCACTGTATGGTGCCGGACCTAGAGGGCCATGGCGTGCGATGTCCCTACGTCGCGGACAGCACCGTGTGTGCGATGCATCGTCATCGCGTACACCCCGTAGGTGGGTGTGGTACCAGCCCCTTAGCGGGGCTTGGTGAGCGCTGGGATAGCGAGGGCACCACGTACGACGTGCAGTGCGTGCTCCCACTAGAGGGAGCGGGCGAGTGTCAGCCCAGGGACAGGGTTGCCCAGGGCCATGGCACTCTAGTTGACCCCGTAGGCACGTGATCCGGAGTGTCCATAGGGAGGCCCCCAGGTGGGGGGGGGGGCTAGGGGGTGATCACGTGTCCGGGGTCAGCTCTCGAGAGGGATCGAGAGGGAGCTGGCGAAGGTGGGCGGGGCCGAGGGCGGAGCCGGCCCTGACCCGGGAGGAAATATGGTGGGTTACTGGGAGGGACCGGGGTTGCTTCGTTCTGCAAGCTGGAAGCTCCACGTTCTACATCTGAAGAGGCACCAACACGTGGCCCGGGACCCGAGGACGGGTCCGGCCCGTCGTAGCCATAACTCCTGTATGGTAGTGTAGTTAGCTGGGTGGTCACCACCCTAGGCTGTATCTGGTAAAGGGGCAGCTACCCCTTTGGTATATACGTGTTGTGTAATAAATGTGTTGCCTCTGAAGAAGAACGTCTGCGACTCAGTTGGACTCGCTACACTAGTAACGAATTGGCGTGTTCTGTTTACGTGACAAACCTCACTAATTGGCTGTGTTGGGTGGTGGCGGTTTTACGGCACATTTATATTTGCGCGATCTATCCCCAAAAAAACCTATATTATGGAGGCAAGGTAAGCAAATCGCTTTAAAAATATATACAAATAAAAACAATTCTTAAAAGGTAGGGCCCGCTGAGTGAAAACAAATGCAAATACTTTAATTAGTGGATAATTGCTGTGTTTGTGTGCTTGCCTGTGCTGACACAAAATACAGTAGAACCCATTTTAACGACGGTAATTGGTTCCACGAAACCGGTCGTAAAGTAATTTGGTCGTTAAGCGAGTCTGGGAAATAGTCCCACCACTTTGGAGCTCACCGATTGGTCGAAATTGGCGTTCATGTGCTGCTGTCGTAATCCCGTCATCAGAGGAATGGCCGGTAAGCGACCACATTGAGCTCTGTGGAGGGCCCGGTCTTCAACCGATTGGTCGTTAACAGGGATGGTCGTTAAGAGGAGTTCTAATGTAGTTACTGTGTTTGTGTGTGCTTGCCTGTGCTGACTCTACATATTATCTTCCTGAGACACCGTTGGGTGATACTTCATGAAGGCCTCGTGCTGTTTATGTCCATTCCTTTTCACGATGACTTTGAACACGCGACTAAGCATCGCGTAAGCGAACCACGTTGTTGGAACTGTGTTTTGAACGCAGGTCACTAAAATCTTGGATGGCAAGCGATCTCAAGCTGTAGGAATTCTAATGTCCAGCATTCACCTTGAAATTAAGGACATTCAACATGGTAAGGCGATCTCTTTGCACCATACCTGCGGTTTGCTGCTGTTCCATTCGATATCACGCACAGCGATTACCGTGGACTAATGTAGGCACGTAAACACGTCACATGACGCCGTCAGGCCTCCTGCTGCCTGCCCATGTTTGCTCATTGAGGAGAGGATTTAAATGTGGGGTACTACCATCCATATGTGTATGGTCAGCACACTGGACTTGCACACCAGAGGTCGCTGTATCCTTTAAATCTCCTGGCAAGGAAGTTAATGGAAGGTAGTTAAAGTTTCTTAAATCCACCCCCCCCCCTCTGTTCACCCATTTTTATAATGGATACGGTTGGTCGACCAATAGGTCGCATGTGATGGCATAAAGTGTGGGTGTTGTCACCAGATACCATTTCTAAGGGGCTCTCTAAAGTGCTCTTGAGGGGAAGGTCCTTCCACCAGCAGTAGCATCAGCATGCAAGTGCCGGGCTGCACCTTAACATTTCCTGTGGTGAGAGCATTGAGCTCGCAGTCACATCACAGCCAGGGGTCCACTCGGCCCTTCTTCCGGGGTTGACACAATTGTAGTGGATTCAACTGAGTCGCAGACATACCTCTTGTAGGCAACTAATTTATTAACAGCAACACATTAACACAAAGGGGTTACTGCTGCCCCTTTACCAGATAACCTATGGTGGTGGACCACCAGGCTAACTACGCTAGTTACTGGGGGTAGCTACAACGGACAGGATCTAACTGGGGTCCACGTCCACTTGTTGGTGACTTCTTCTTGGACGTAGAACGTAGAACGTAGATCTTCAGATGACGACAGCAACGCTGAACCCCTGTCCCTGTGCGGACCCGGTTTATACGCTGCTGGGTCGTGGTTGGCCTCGCCCTTGGCCACGACCACCTTCGAGAAACCTCTTGTCGTTTCTCGACCCTTCCCGTAGGATCTCACCCTGACACGTGACCTCCCCCATAGCCCCCGCCGGGGGCCCCTGTATAGATCTTACCCGTCACGTGCCTCCTAGGGTCAACCAGAGTGCCATGGCCTAGGGTAACCTTATCCCATGGCTGACACTCCCTCCTGTAGGAGTCAGCACTGCACGCCACGCGTGGTGCCACTGCGCTATCCCAGCGCGCACCCTTTTAGGGCTGGTACTACACCCACCTACGGGGTGTCCGCGTTGACAATGCATCGTTGCCTCGCTAGAGCCGGCATTACTCGGCGACATTCACGATGTCGCTACATACGTGCTGTCCGCGATGTGAGTACATCGCACGCCGTGCCCCTCTAGGCCCGGCACCACACAGTGACATCCGCGATGTCACTTCACAATCATCGTCATTCATATATTAATGGTCCACATGCCTTTACTTCTCAAAGTGCATGAACATGGCTTCGCGTAATCCAAATGCCCACGGATCTATAAACAACAACAGCAATCAGTTACTGTATAAATAAACAAACATGAATGCAATGTTACATTACTTTCAGTATCTGTCTGTTTCTACAACTATGTATGTATGTATGTTGAACTTTTTTCACATCATACATAGCCAATCGTGCTAATTGGAAGTGCGGAGGAAGGACACCAAACTAAACACATAAACAGTTCTCAAGAAAAGAGTTTTCAATATAGATTTTAAAGTGCATAGCTCCAGTGGCTTCCTAATATTGGAAGGAAGAGCATTCCAGATGGCCGCAGAAGTGCATCTGGAAGCGCAGTGCAGTGACCATCTTTACATGCAATGCACATGAGTCTTTGTCCATAGCTTATTAGAGAAAATAACCCTGGGGTCTGAACCAATCCAGGCTTGTCGATGCAGTGGTATATGTATATATGGCCAAGCAGACCATTCCCAAACTTAAGCGCCACCGTAGGCAAGAACATACCACGCTGCGGGAAGTCAGCAGCGGTTGGCCTATGGGGAGACGCATCAAACTTATTTAGTTGCTATTAATGTCTCCTAACGTGGAAACATTTTTTTTTATAAATGTGCATTTAAAGAGACTGACCTCCACAATGGGAATATGGAATTGTCAACTACTGGCTCAGGGACGTGAGAGAAAGATAAGTGCTGCCGAGTTTGCTCGGCCTGTAGACCTGTTGCATTACATTGCATTTGCAAAAGATTTGCTAAATTTTGTTTTATCAAACTATTTCTCTCTGAAATTTACCAGAATCTCACAGGGCCACTGGATCTTCTTTCCCTCGGTCGCTTCGGGGTGGTTTCATTGCCATGCTAATTTCTCTGCTCCAGCAGCTGCTCCAGCAGACCCACCTCTCTCTCTCTGCCCACCCCCCCCCCTCTCTCTATTTAAGGCCTCGACACAGAGGCATTGGGTCTCTGTGTGTCTATGTTGTGTCTCTCTCTGTGTGTCTGTGTTGTCTCTGTCTGCTTGTGTGTCTGTCTGTGTGTCTCCGTGTCTGTGTTTTGTCTCTCTCTCAAATTTAGTTCTACCTGATGACGACTTGCTTGCGTTGCAATCGAAACGTCGTATTCTATTATTTAATTTATTTTCTTTCTACGTGACTTTACCGAAAGAACCAAAGAGTACTTAATTTTAGCCCAGAATCTTCCTTTTACATATACAATATGGATAGTTCTCACAAATGTATGGCAAGAAGCATGATATATCCGCGAATATGCAGGGCACCCATTTGGCCAATAATAGTGTTCATAAAATTTGATGACTTACAGTAATAATGATGAGGCTGATCATTTTCTCCGCATCTTATCTAACAAACCATAATTTGTGATTTTGTCATTTCCATTGGATAAATCTAAAGACACTGATGTTTGTTTTTTAACCATTACATTTTGCGATCACCGTTACCATGATGTATAATACATGGTTTATTGTGCATTTCCAGGCTTAAATATTTTGGCATGTAAATAATTGTGAGCTGTGCACGAGATAATATCCCCTCCTGTCTGACCTGTTATGCTCTGAAGGAGGGCCGTCGCCCGGAATTATCGGCCGAATATTATTTTTTTTCCTCTTAAGACCTTTGTCCATTCTAAAGAGTGTTTTTGATTAACGTGTTCAGTGTTCTTGTTGTTTTGTCTTGTAAGGTTACGTTGTCTGTATTTGTGGCTTAGCTGTGCTTCAGTTGGACAGCTCCCTGGTGGATCTGGAGACTCTGCAAGCTCTATACGAGAATGTAAGTTTTATTCATCCGCTTTCCGCGTGTGTACTGCGTCTCCTTGGAATAACGGAATCAGAATCTTTATTTAACGTGAGCGGTTATGCCACGGCTCCCCCACTCCTAACTTGGCTCTGTACAGTCCGAAAGAAGTTCAACATACACACATATAATGATTCTATCTTAAGCTGATTATTTAATGATGCTGCTGCTGCGTAAAGTGCAGTCTCCAACTCTGATGCACTCTTATCGCTCTGTATGTGCTTTGAAGAAGGGACTTTGCCCAAAATGTCGCTTGTATATTTTTCTTTTAGGGACACAGTATTATTGACAAATATCTTGGAATTGTTTGTTAAGTATTCTGTACGATCACTTAAGAGTCCACATGTTCAGTACCATACAACCATCATACAAAGGCAAGTCACTGCGTCGTACTTTCAGAGCTATGCACTTTTCCACTGGAGCTATGCACTTTTCAATCTAAATTGGAAACTCATTTCTTGAGAACTTTTTTTTATTTAGTTTGTTGTTCCCCCGCACCTCTTACTAGCACGGTTTGGGCTACGTACAGTGCGAAATAAGTTCAACATACATACACCAGAAGAATAACTATGATTTAACAAATGTTTACTTATCAATTTCTTAATCTGCACAGTTAATTTTTTTCTATTTCCTGTGCCTGTTCATATTACACCACTGGTATAATAAAATAACTACCTGGCCTGGTATACAGGTGGTGGATTTGTGGGTTCGATCCTGACTGATGCATGTATGTGTGGAATTTGCATGTTCTCCCAGGCGGGAATGTGGTTTTTTTCTCCAGGTTTTCCATTTTTCCCCTCCACATTTAGAAACACGTATTTAGAGTATTTGCCTGCTATATATTTCAACCACGATAAGCCACTTCGTTAGCTGTCATTTATGGCCAGGCCGCTTCTAAAAAAAAAGAGCTACATTACCCATTGTGGCCTTACCTGGTAAAATAAAAATAGTTAATAGAATAAGATGCAGACTCCTCGACATGTTGTGATGCCTTGATCATCCAGGGTCTCCCACCAACCCTGTGGTCTGTGTCTTCTTGCCACACGCTGCTGAATGGCGCCGCAGCATTAATGGTTGAGCCTTGCGCATGTAAGACCAGGCAAGCCGGCAGCAATTTTCCAATGAGTCACGCTCTTCTGGTGAGATTTGGAGAAGCCAATACAGGGTCAAGATTTTGCTCATTTAAACATTCTTCTCTAAAATGTTGCTCCTGATGCCCCCTGAGATTATTTAGCATTTTATCACTTTCCAACCAAGGTTGAAAGCATTTATGCGCGCATTAGCTCTCCGTGCATTTGTCCTATAACGGTTGGGGGGGGGGGGGGGTGGAGAAGGCACGATAACGCCCTTAACAATGATGCAATATGAATGAAACCAAAGTGTAAAGTTACGTGGCCATTATTGACTCGCTCTATTGAAAACCGGTCACATTTATGCCACGGGTGTTTCTGTTCGAAGCGGTACTGGAGGGCACGTGAAGTTGATGCTCTTTGTAAAAAAAAAATGTTTTGCTTGCAATTTCATCAGAGAGGTGAAAAGGAAGAACTGGGAAAGATTGTGCAGTTTGTCACGTCTAAACAGGGCGCGGAGGACACACGGCAGCTGGATAAGCCTGAACAGTAAGCGTCTTCCTCCTTGTGCTATCTACCAGTGCTTGTATACATGGAGCTCTTGTCTAACTCCCAAGTCAAACGCAGTGGCGTAGCGGCGTGGTTGCCATGGGCCCTGTAGTCTATGGGCCAGAGCACTTATTGTTACTACACAAGCTAGCAAAGCTTAGTATTTACGATTGATTTATGTGGCTAATATGACTGAATTATTTTTGATATCCCCATTAAATTCAAGTGGCTATTGCGTAATTCACTTTTATTGACCGCTTGGAAAAATTGGAACCTCTCAAGTTATCTCCACTTGAGGCGGTATAGACAAGTGACATATCTTATCTGGGCTCTCATGGACTACTCGGTACAAGGCATGAAATGGGGCCCCCTGTCCAATTTCCCATCCCCTTCGGGAGCCTGGTGCCTGAGCCCCTCTGGAACCATAGGTCCTGGTGGAGTTGCACCGCCTACACACAATGGCTACTTCTACTGGTCAGGAGTCAGCGTCTCCCTGGTCAGTCGAGCATCACCATTGGTTGCCCTGAGCCAGTGGTGGTAATTCCACATTCACATGGTGGCCGCCGATCGATATCTAATTTATATTTATAGAGTGCCTTCACTCAAGGCGCTTGACATAAGCTTCCAAAACGGTGACAGAATAGAGTGATGTAGATGGCAGGGGGCATACAAGCATTGAGGAATGAGTGACAGCGTTAGACGGTATTTTAGGGATCACAAAAGGGTAGGGGTGGGAGTTGAAATGAGTGGAGGGGTGAGGGAATAGAATGGGCAACAGAGAAGACGTGAGGCTTTAAGAGAGGAACAGAAGGAGGTTAAGGAGGGGGACTGCTTAATGTACAAGGGAAGTTTATTCTAGTGGAGGGGTGCAAAGAAAGAGAAGGATCGAAAAGAGGATTGGACACAGCGAGAAGGAGGGGACGGAGAGCGATAGAGAATATTGGGAACGGTGCAAGCACTGTAGAACCGTAGCCAATTGCAACGTTTGATTTTTTTTTTCTCAAATAAAAACAGCCCTGTGCGTTCTTTACTGCCACGTGTGTTTCTTCGTTAGGTTCCTGTACGAACTGTCGCAGATTCCCTGCTTTTTTGAGCGGGTTTTCTGCATCGTCTTCCAGTCCACGTTTACGGAGCACATCAAGTCCATACACTGCCGGCTAGAGCTGGTGCATCGCAACAGCAAGGTAAGGTGGCCACAAGCGGCACCTTACAGTCACTGTCACTCAATGCCGGAGGTGACCCGATGGCTCACAGAGGTCAGAGCGCCTAGCTGTTACCGCTGAGGTCCTGAGTTCGAATCCAGGCAGCCGCCCTGCGATTATATCAGGTTTTCAAATGTAGCGAGTTGATTGTCTCGCCCCATTCACCGATTAAAACTAAACTACTTTTATTTTACCAGGTAAGGCCCACTGAACTATATTGCTCTTTTTCAGAAGCAACTTGGCCACAAATGATAGTCCAACGAAGTGGCTTATCGCGTGAAAATTTATAGCCGCAGAATACTCTAAACGCATGTTTCTAAATGTGGAGGGAAAAACTGGAGGACCCAGAGAGAAAAAAAAAAACTAAACAACCACAGGGAGAACATGCAAACTCCAAATATACAGCAGGTGTCAGGGTCGGAATCGAATCCACGACCTTCTGAGACCAGATGGGTAAAAATTGCTCGCCCTACTATGGGGACCTGAGGTGACTTTAAAGAGGATCTCGGGTAACTCTGTGATGTCCGCTTCTGTGGACCGTTCTCTAACAAGAGGGGGTTTGCAATGTTCTGCGAGACATCCAAATGAATTATCGTTGCTATGACGCCGGTAGCTCAATTGCGCGATAATGTTGGAGAGGAAGACGAATGTACGTGTTCAATATGAATACGTTAGTATAACGGTCTCACCGATGTAGCAATGAGAATTAATAAGATATGTTCAGGTGTAACGCTTGGTTTTATATTTCATTCAGGTTTTGGTTGTTGGGGTTATATTTTATGTTTATTAAACTTAGGACATATTTTTATGTTTGTGAAAGTTTTTGAAGCAAGCCAATATGACGTAGTTATTAGTTACTTCAGTCTGTAATTAAATATTTGATGTAAACAAATGTACTATGGCCAGTGATTAAACTGTGAATGTAACAAATAAGCATTTGATGATCCTGTGCTTAAAATAGATTCTTAGACTCATGAAACGCACACGTTGAATTATGCGTGTGAGATTTTGACACTTTTATCATGCGCGTAATGCATTGTGCATGCAAGGATTGATTATCTGTCACACAGGCAACTGTTCTCTTTAGGCTCGCGGAACAAACGAGGCAGAACACACATGTGAGAGATGATACCAGAGAGCTCAATACTGAATAGACGCTTAAAGAGAACCGTGGTGTCAGATTGTGATACATTTGTCGAATCGTTGGCGAGAGGGGAGTTAACTGTTACGAAATTGTATTCATTACTAAATTTACAATGCCTTCGAATAGATATTCGGAGGCTTGAGAGAGAGAATTAAAGTCTTAAGATCCTGACAAAAACTCGACAACGATACCGACGTGCAGCGCAGTGAGAGAGGGGGTTTGGGATTGAATTCCAGACGACGGGAGCTGCGACAGAGATACCACGTTCACTTTGTCCGCTTCGAGAGAATGGGCATGGCAGCGTGGTGGGGGGGCACTTGAGGCACATGTCCCAGCGAATGATGGTTTCTAAGTATCGTGGATTCATTGACAAGATGTTTCCCCTTTGTGGCGCTTGTAAAATCCACAGTGGATGCAGGGTTTCCTTGAGTCAAATTATATGTTCGTGAACTGTAGACGTTTGATTTTTAGGTACAACATTTTAGACGCAATATTTTTGACACAACAGCGATTGATTTATAGGCAACAAACATTTGCTGCATTTACGTTGAGTGAGCTGAACGAAGCAGAAACACAGGCTACGGAAGGAGATGTGGCGGAAATTGATTTGGCCCTATCGCCGCTGATAGGCGAACGTAAAAGAAGGCTGGTATCGGATGGTCTTGAGTGTAAGAACTGACTTTTATAAATGACCTTTTTTATTGAATGAAGAAAAGCAACTTTTTATATCGCAGCGGTGGCATGCATTGGGAAGGGGAAACATTTGTGCAAATAGAATGCTATTCACTGCATTAGCATGGAGAGATACGAGCTTGGAATTACACTTGAGAGACCGAAAGAGGGCAGTAGAGAATGTGTGCAGGTCAATTATGTTATTGAATCTGTTAAGAAATGTCAGTGGGCTTGGGCAAGAATACGTCACGGCTCGAAGGGACGGCGATGGCCAATGACGGTCGAAGGTCAAGAATACGAACGGAGCAGCAGCCGGGGAACGGAGCAACTCCGTGTGGGCATCCGCCGGGGCGATGGAGCGATGAAAATCGGCTGGCGTGCCAATACGAGGCCGATTATTACATCGCAGGATCGTGAAATATGGTGTTGGCATGGGGAGGGCTTCATCCAGCAGTGGATTTACCGTGCCTGATGATGATGATGATGAAGGGTTGAACGCATTTTAGTTGAAGGAGAAGCTAAATTGTCGACTTTGCAGGGAGCACTGTAATATTGGAGGGGTTTTTTTTAGCAAGGATGACAAAAAGGCTAGCGCTGTGCATACCATATGCTGTGCGTTCTGCAGTGTGCACCGCACCCCACCGTATGGCAGCCACATTTAAACACCCGTAGCAGTTATGGCTGCAGCATGCACTTAACAGAGTAAATAAAGTCATTGTCTGGAAAAAGAGGAAGAAGCTTGGTAATGTTTTACAGACGTTACACACAAGCCTCCGTTTGATGTGGATCCTGTGTCAGAAGCAAGATCCTTCAAGGTTCATGGGTAACTGTTTGCGAAGCTGTTTACACGTTTATCTGCAGAAGGATCGTTCAAACATGATTAGTGTTTGTAAAAGCATTCATACAGTGACGCTTTTCCTTCTCTGATAGAGTAATTTGTCAACATTTTAAATATTTATTTCAACATGCATTAGGGTTCATTTCCCTACAGTTTGCGCACTCCTGGAAACTTAGAACAGTTGCATTGTCCCTGAGCTATAACATTTAAAGACATGTTTCTAAAGTTTGTTATTATAGGTGTGCTTCTGTTTAAGGTTTTCAGAATGTATCTGCCTGGTCTATGCAGATGTTGTAAGTTTTAGACGACATCATATTTGGCTGCGTAGGTTTTCGCGGTGGTAATTGTGCAGCTGTCCGATGCGTTTTCGGGTTGTACAGTGAGGTTTGTTCGTGACGGCGTCCGACGTTTCGCTCCTCATTCATGAAAGAAGCTCCCAGCACCTCCGACGAGCATGGTTGACTACGTACGGTGCAAAATAAGTTCAAACGTACATGCATACGTGCGAGCGTAACGTCGGCGAGTATGCCAAACGGCACGCGGTGCAACACCAGAGCACATCTGAGAGCTATAGGTGCGATTTAAAATGAAATGAATACTATTTTGAACTGAAAGTGTGACGTTGAAAACTAGTTTTGGATACAAGATGCAGCTTGGAGAGTTTTAATTTCGTGATACTAAAGTGGCACCAAATAGAAGACAACCATAATAAGCAAAATTTTTAGTCCGTGAATTGTTTTGTGATGTCATTTTGTGACTGGTCCACTGTATTTGCTCCAGAAACCTACGATTTACGTTGATTTTGCGGATATTTGATTGGCATTTAGCGACGCATCAATATATTGGCTAAAATGGATTGTCACTCTCACGATACGTGCATTCCATCATGCGAGTAAGAATCGATCACTTGCTCCTTATACAAACGATATGGTAAAGTTCATGATTCGTAAGTGATTTTTGGGTCCGATCGCGTGAGTAAAATGTGTGTCGTAAACCCTCCGCCACCCGATGCGGCCAATTCATAAAGTTGTCACGTGAACAAATGTGCCAAGTTATTACTGCTTCAGCAGCACTGGTGCGGTATTGAAGAGTTATCCACATGATATTAAACAATTGGGTGCGCAACGTTTTGATGATAGAAGCAGAATCGTCAGGCAGTTTCCAGAATTGTGAAAATGTCCTTTCAGTCTTGGGGGACGTGTGTTCCACTTACAATGAAGTTCAAATTAGGCTAATGTAAGAAACAACTTTACAAACAGGACGAAGGAAAGAATACAAATGGGGCCATACAATCGAGATAAAAAAAACTAAACCGTTGTTGTATCGACTCGCTACTCCGAATCGGCACTGCGGCGTTTCATGCCACTATGGATGTGTTTTGACGCAACGCTGCGGGATGTTTAACCCGCTGGTATTGTCTCGCACAGCTGCTGAAGACCAGCGCCGGAGTCCACAAAGTGCTGAGCCTCATTCTTACCTTCGGGAATTACATGAACGGCGGCAACAGGACCCGCGGCCAGGCCGACGGATTTGCGCTGGAAATTTTACCCAAACTCCGCGACGTGAAGAGCAACGTATGTCCGCGCACATTTTCGGCCCACATAGCGCAGGGTGTTTTTAGGCTTCTGTGCGGTCGTGTAGCGGTTAGCGCGCTGCGCCATGAACCCGACGACCCGAGTTCGATTCCCGCTCGCAGCCACTAACAGCAGTAACAATTATTTGAACCGGCTCTTGAGGCTCCCCTAGGTCGACTCAGCCTCAAATGAGCACCTGGTGCGGCGTGTAAACATCAGCACCGGGGAGACAAAGGCGGCCGGGCATCGTGCTGGCCGCCCACCCCCTCATGTGCTGTGCCGGCCTTCGTAGGTGCTCGCGAACAACACCTGCCCCCAACAGTCTGTTAAGGTGATACAGGGGATCTTTGTGGGGCGACATGGTGGACAAGAGACGATCGTGCAGCAAAGTCCATTGTTTTACTGCACTAGTCTCTAAAGTCGATGCTCCCTGCCTTCACCAACCCACACTTACTGGCGTGGTGGAGTACTGTATGACCAAATAGCCCCCCCCCCCGACGACCCACACGGTTATGTATGTAGAACTTCTTGTGAGGATGCGCTCATCAAGCAGTGGATTGACTTGTACAAAATGTCTTGATTAAAAATATTGCCGTTTACTTTTTTCAAGTTAAAATAGTAGGCGCAGAAACACGTGGCCATGGATTGGTTTGAAAAGGCTCCTCGGATATATACATATGAAGTCCAATTTGGAAAACAATGAGTAGAATTTTAATTGAATAATTATGTTGCTCGGTACAATGGTTAGCAGCACACTGCAATACCGAGATCATTAAACGATGATGCAAGTTTTGTTTTTTTAAATCCTCCCCATCTCTGTCCATCGAAGAGTAATAAATATTTGTACCACAGTTGATCGGCTGGTCGTGTGTGGTGGCGTAAAGTGTGGGTACTCCCAACTTTTCCATGTCTGGCCAGCATGGAAGAGCAGGCCCTTCCATCAGCAGTGGTGTGAGCAAGCAAGTTGCAAGGCCTGGCCTTTATGAAGGTTTTACAAAAGAACAGCTTTAAAAGTGATAGCTGTACGTGCCCTGATATTGTGTTTGTGTTTTCTCCCTCAGGACAATCGCATTAGTCTAGTCAACTACATCGTGGCTTATTACCTGCAGAACTTCGACGAGGTGTGTGAGTCTTACGCAGCGGGTTTCAAGATGGCTACACACTTTTAAAATGGCTAGGGAAAAACCTATGGCCCCACTCAGGGGCGGAGCCAGGATTTTCAGCCCGGGGTGACATTCAACAAATTTTAATTTCAAGAATGATTAGAGAGTCAGGCTGTTGAACTAAAGTTCAGACGATATGATTGCGGCGCGGGCGCATCGACTGGAACTGCTCCATGATTTCGTCGTTGGTGTGACGCCTTTTGCAACGTCGTTTTCGACGAACAGGAGCATCGCGTCAGTAAAGTACTCGGCGCCCATGGTGGTACGCAATCGGGTCTTAATGTGCTTCATCGCGCTAAAGATGCGCTCGGCTGTGGCGGCGGCCACCGGTGGGGTCAACACGAGGCGCACCAGGCGGTAGACCAGGTGAAAGCCGGAATCTCTGCCGCCACTTGTCGCCAGGTTGATGGACAGCGTGTTCACATTCTTCAGCTCTTCATCTCGCCGGATTTCCTGGTCGAAGTGGAGCAGCTGCTGCTCGAGGAGAAGCATGTCGAGATCGGGAAAATCGCGCTTGTAAAAATCACAGGCCAGCTCCAGGATCTTGCTGACGTTGAACGACTCAAATCGATCGCGGGGCGATAAATGGACCGCCAGCCGCAACATCTTCATCGACTCCGCGCCGAAACGCAGATCGAGCTCGACCAGCATCTTGTCGATCGAGGCGTTAAAGAGGTCGATGTGAAACACGTGGTCGTTGGTGATGACGTAGGTGCAGCGCCGAGGACGTCCAGGGCGGGTGTAGTTCGCGTTCATGTCGGCGACGGGTACCTCGTTGACGTCGCAGAAGGCGTTGACGTCCTTGAGCAGATCGTCGTAGCCGTTCTCGCGCAGCTCCTTCAGCGACTCAGTGGCGCAATCGACAAGCCGCATCGCATTGACAACGTCCTGGTCCTCTTTCTGCAGCGCCACGTGCAAATCGTTCGTGATCTTAAGCAAGCGCTCCTCCGTCAGGTGGAGGCAGAACGCGAACTTGAACGAGAACATGTCGTTGAGAAGGCGATGAGCTTCGGCCCGTTGCTCTGCCTTGGCGCGCCGTCCTCTTCCACGTTCTGGATGACGACGGCAGTCGCGTTGAACATCTCAATCAGGCGGTGCAGCGAGCGCCAGAAAGACGATGACCACCTCGTGTTGCCCGCCGCCGACAACGCCGTCTCCTGATTCTGACCGCGGCCGGTGGAGACCGCCAGCTCGTCGACCAGGTCGTCCACGAGCTTCTTGTGCTCGGCGAGCGGTTGGTCGTTGCGCTTGCGCGAGCCGGTGGCAGTGCGGGTTATGTCCTGGACGAGGTCAAAGAACACGGCAATGTCGGCGACGCCATTTGTGCAGGCAGCGACGAGAGCGAGCTGCATCCTATGCGCCCAGCAATGCGTGCAGTAGGCCACGTCGTTCGTGGCCTCGATCAAGGGCTGCAAGCCAGCGATCTCACCGCTCGTGCTCGACGCGCCATCGTATCCTTGGCCGCGGCAGGTCTCAATAGGGCGCTGGCGACCCGAGAGCGGGTTGACAATGGCGCTGCAGAGGGTGGGCGCACACGTGTCCGACACGTGCTGAATGTCGACAAGTCGCTCGCGCAGGATGCCCGTACTGACCTCGACAAAGCGGTTGACGACGTCCAGCTGCTCCTTCTTCTTTGGTTCTTTCGGTAAAGTCACGTAGAATGAGAATAAAATAATAAATTGATCAAATAAAATAACACAATAATATTCTCACGACGTTTCGGCCACAACACAAGCGGCCTTCATCAGGTGAAGGGACGAGACTGTCTGGAGGACAGCGCTGTCCTCCAAGCGGCCTTCATCAGGTGAAGGCCGCTTGTGTTGTGGCCGAAACGTCGTGAGAATATTATTGTGTTATTTTATGTTATCAATGTATTATTTTATTCTCATTCTACGTGACTTTACCGAAAGAACCAAAGAAGATGAATCCTTGCAGTCACGAAAGCTTTAAATCGAAATTCAGCTGCTCCTTCTTGCTGACGTCACGCGACTCGTCCGCCACGATGCAATGGTACGCGTCGCCAATCTCGGCGTCGAGGCGCCCGGCGCACCAGTTGAGCGTGAGCATGGATCAGGTCCTTCTGAACGTCGGGGCTGGTCATGGTCGCATTCTGCGGCGCGTTCTCCCAGGTGATGGCCGCAAGCAGTGCGTCGCACTTGCGTAACATGTTGAGAATCTCCAGACAATTGCCCCGGTCAAGAGAGCCAGGCGACTCGTCGTGTCCCCGCATCGCAATGCCCCGGTTCACGCAGACGCGCATGACGTCGACGGAGGCGTCCAGGCGCTTGCGGTTGCCGTCAATAGTTTTGGCATTCTGTCGGGCCAGCCGAGCGTGGCCCGTGATGACGTGCTGCTGGGCGTTGAGAAGGTCCCTGGCCTTCTTCACGGCGATGTTGTGTGCCGACTTGTGCCCACCCTGATGCTTGAGTAGGCTGCAATTCTTGCCACCGATCTCATTCCAGGTTGAGAAGCCGGGGGAGTAGATGAATTCCGACGCAACGTTATCTGCGCTTGACGACGGCGGGAAGAGGTAGCAATTAGAAGCAGTAAACATGCTCGCTGATGAACGAGCACTCGAGCCAGTCGAGCTGAACAAACAAAGACGCCGTCTGGCGGCGGGCAGCGGGCAGCGCCGCCAGCGAACTTGGACGGGTATTTCAACGTCCCGGTCAGGCCAGGTTGTGGAGCCGGAGGCGGTACGAACCGTCTCGCTTGCAGATACGCGTAGCGCAATACTTCGGCGTCCGACTCCGCCATCGCCGCCATCGGTAGCCTCGTGGCGGGGGTCGCGATCCAGAGCGCGAACAGACCGCAGCTGCCGCTCTTGCTCATCGGACTGTGGCGAAATCCGTTGTTCATCCGGCGGCGGCGAAGGCGAACGATCACGCCTCCGCCGAAGGGCAGGCTCGTCTTGCGCTTCAGGAGCAGGCCGAGGACGCCGCGCTAAGAAATCGGCTATACCCCACGCCATCGGTTGGTGACACACTCTGACAATGCAGTTGCACGGAGTCCGCCAGACCGAGTGTCGTACACTTCTACGCAGAATGTTTCAGATTTTCGATTTTTTTTCTTTCGGGGATGACAATTGTCTTCCCTGTCACCCCCCTGGCCCCGCCCCTGGCCCCACTCCAGGCTAGATACGGTCCACGTGGCTTCGTTTTATATGACCCACGTGGCTTCGTTTTATTTAGCCCACGGCCACATTGAAGCCTACCACTTCGTAACACGGTCAAGCTCGTATTTACGTTCCGATTCACGATTTCACTCCTATGAGGGCAGACATTGCACTTAACGACACATTCATATTTACGCGATTTAACCCAAAAAATTATGGATTTGTACAAATTATTTGACTCACTATCTTCATTATTTTACAAAGTATCCGTTAAAACTGCTTTTATGCCGGCTCACGAATTAGCCAACTCTAGCAACAGGGCAAAGATGCTTGACAGATGATTTCGCACAACGTTGCTTTTTTTAGGCCCTGGCTGTTGTTCGTGGGGGTCTACAATCCAGTGGATATCAGAGCCAGTTCCAAGCCTGGATAAAAAGAGAGTGACCAATGTAGAAATCAGAAAAAGGTTGCACTTAGAAGAAGACCTGATGCAGGCAATGATGAGAAGGAAACCGGCACGATTTGGACACATGTGGGGTGGACAACAACAGCAACATTTTAAAGTGTGTTGTTGTTGTTTGGAAAAAATGGAAGGAACCGGAAAGAGAGGAAAACCTAACAGAGAATGGCTTGACGATGACATCATAAGAGATTGGTGCCGGAAAGATGTGGCACTACTTGAGCATATTGGCACAGGACAGAGGAAAGTGGAATCATTTGATGAAATGTGCAGCAGACACTTACCGGGCTATCTGCCCATGGACCGTGATGATGATGATGCTACTGCTGTTGTCCCTGGGCAGGACGCTGGGACAGAGCGGAGCATATTCCCACTGCCAGAGCCACAGGAGCTGCTCCAGGCTGCCCAGGTCAAGTTTGAGGACATTCAGAGGGATATGCGCGAGCTCAGAAAGGATCTTAAAGGTAACGGGACCAGTTGTCTTTGTTTCAGCGTTTTTCTTTTAGCACTTAACTTGCGTTGGCAGGAGTCCACAAGAACAATTTATGAAAGAAAAAAAAAACTCAAACGCATTTGTCAATGACACTGTCCTTGCAAAAAAAATATATAATAGGTGACATTTTGAGCAATGACCGTCCTTCATAGCATAGTCCCCCTGTGACTTTATAAATCCCGAAAACTTAACACATTCATCAATAACACTGTGCTATGAAGAAGGGCAATAGCCTGAAACGTTGCCTCATATATATGTTTTTATTTTATGCCCACAGTGTTATTCACAAACGTATTTAGCTTTTCTGTATTATTAGCATCGGCTGGCCTCACCAAATACCTACATATGCTCTCCTAAAACTGTCAAACTGATCTCCAATTAATAAGATCCATAGTAGAATAAAATTCGAAACTACAAGCTGAAGACCAGAACCTGCATTTCTTGTTTTTACAATCCCATTGTTACAAACGTGAGAGTGCCGTTTTATCGAAAAGCATCCACTAATTGTTAAGTATGAGAATAGGTTTTACCCTTTCTGGAAATAACACAGGTGTTAAGATATTAAAACACCAAACTGTAACTTTTTGCAAGGAATAATGTCTGCATTAACCACATATACTTGTGGTGAACATGCAAACAATTTGGTGAATGCAAACATGATTCCTTGTGTCGTGAGCCCAAAGATGATGGAGAGCCGGTACTTGAGACAACAGTTTATTTAACAAATAAACTCAACGCAAGGTCCCTACTATGAAGGGCAATGGCCCCTTACACCCGCTACCTGGGGAGGTATGGCCTCCGGGCTATAGTGCCTCTGCCTCCTAACATTGGGACCCACTCTACACTCAGCCCTCCGGCTTGGGGCCCTAGGGGAGGCTACTCTGACCCGACTCAGCCAAGGTCCTTGGGTCCCGACCACTGGCCCACTCAGTCCCGGCCCTTACAAGGACATCGGGTCTGGGGGTACCCAGGGTCCGACCGCTACCCCACCTCAGTGCCGGCCCTTAGAAGGACAGCGGGTCTGGTGGTCCCAGGGTCCTACCACTGTCCCACCTCAGTGCCGGCGCTTAGAAGGACAGCGGGTCTGGTGGTCCCAGGGTCCTATTCTAAGCCCAGTCTTCTGTCTTCGCCTTGAGAATGACTGCCGAACTCTTTCAGGGGACCGACTTTTATACCCCTCCTAGGGTCCCCATGCCCCTGGCCACGCCTCCCTTCCAGAGTGTTCCAGGAGATCCTGGAATATTCCCCCCTACTGACGTATGTCCGCTAGTGCAGCTAAGTACACCGTGTGTTCATGGCGTTACACTTGCAAAAGGTTTCAGTTTTTGTGTTTTAACATCTTAACACGTGTTTTGTTTCCAGAAAATGTAAAACCTGTTCTTATATTTTGATACTGGCAAGGGAGGTCCCATGATGAAGGAGATTAAGTGTTTACTGTTACCTCACCTGGTTCGTGTTGTGTTCACTTCTCTACACTTGATCGTGTTCGCGTTGTGGCTCTGTGGTGTTCTCACTGGTTCGTGTTGTGTACACTTCTCTACACTTGATAGTGTTCGCGTTGTGTCTCTGTGGTGTTCTAGCACCATCTTTGATGACGTTAGTGTGGATTGCAAATGTTCAGCGGTTTTTGAGATGCAATTTGCAATAATGACACTACAGTGAGGGAAAAAAGTATTTGATCCCCTGCTGATTTTGTACGTTTGCCCACTGACAAAGAAATGATCAGTCTATAATTTAATAGTAGGTTTATTTGAACAGTGAGAGACAAAATCCAGAAAAACGCATGTCAAAAATGTTATAAATTGATTTGCATTTTAATGAGGGATATAAGTATTTGACCCTCTCTCAATCAGAAAGATTTCTGGCTCCCAGGTGTCTTTTATACAGGTAACAAGCTGAGATTAGGAGCACACTCTTAAAGGGAGTGCTCCTAATCTCAGCTTGTTACCTGTATAAAAGACACCTGTCCACAGAAGCAATCAATCAGATTTCAAACTCCCCACCATGGCCAAGACCAAAGAGCTCTCCAAGGATGTCAGGGACAAGATTGTAGACCTACACAAGGCTGGAATGGGCTACAAAACCATTGCCAAGCAGCTTGGTGAGAAGGTGACAACAATTGGTGCGATTATTCGCAAATGGAAGAAACACAAGAACTGTCAATCTCCCTCGGCCTGGGGCTCCATGCAAGATGTCACCTCGTGGAGTTGCAATGATCATGAGAACGGTGAGGAATCAGCCCAGAACTACACGGGAGGATCTTGTCAATGATCTCAAGGCAGCTGGGACCATAGTCACCAAGAAAACAATTGGTAACACACTACGCTGTGAAGGACTGAAATCCTGCAGCGCCTGCAAGGTCCCCCTGCTCAAGAAAGCACATATACATGCCCGTCTGATGTTTACCAATGAACATCTGAATGATTCAGAGGACAACTGGGTGAAAGTGTTGTGGTCAGATGAGACCAAAATGGAGCTCTTTGGCATCAACTCAACTCGCCGTGTTTTTGGGGGTGTTTTTCTGCTAAGGGGACAGGACAACTTCAGGTCAAAGGGACGATGGACGGGGCCATGTACCGTCAAATCTTGGGTGAGGACCTCCTTCCCTCAGCCAGGGCATTGAAAATGGGTCGTGGATGGGTATTACAGCATGACAATTACCCAAAACACACGGCCAAGGCAACAAAGGAGTGGCTCAAGAAGAAGCACATTAAGGTCCTAGAGTGGCCTAGCAAGTCTTCAGACCTTAATCCCATAGAAAATCTGTGGAGCGAGCTGAAGGTTCGAGTTGCCAAACGTCAGCCTCGAAACCTTAATGACTTGGAGAAGATCTGCAAATAGAAGTGGGACAAAATCGCTCCTGAGATGTGTGCAAACTTGGTGGCCAACTACAAGAAACGTCTGACCTCTGTGATTGCCAACAAGGCTTTTGCCACCAAGTACTAAGTCATGTATTGCAGAGGGGTCAAATACTTATTTCCCTCATTAAAATGCAAATCAATTTATAACATTTTGACATGCGTTTTTCTGGATTTTGTTGTTGTTATTCTGTCCCGCACTGTTCAAATCAGAATCAGAATCAGAAATAAACCTACCATTAAAATTATAGACTGATCATTTCTTTGTCAGTGGGCAAACGTACAAAATCAGCAGGGGATCAAATACTTTTTTCCCTCACTGTACGTAAAATAAATATTATAATCCAGTCAGAGCAGTGCAACTTCCACCCCCCATTTACCCCATGTGTTTGAGAACAGATTACAGAAGCAGATATTACAGAGCAACATCTGAGATTCTTTAAGTGACCTCTGGTCTACACTCCAGGGTGGCACCACATTGCCACCTGCTGCTCGACCGCTTAATGTTCATCACGTGACAGTCAAACTGAAAAATGTGTATTAAGAATTTCCCACCTGGAATTTTACCAACTTAATTGCAGCACCAAATCTGAATTTGACGGGTTTTTTCTGTGCAGTAATTGGTGGCCCCCTTTTGATTCCGTATATTTCAGTCTCACGGAGTCCGCGTTCAAGTGCGGGTGTCAATTTGGGTGGTGTGGCTCAGGATTCCGAGTTGCCCCCCCCCTCCGCTCTTGAGAGCGTGGGTTCGAATCCAGGATTCATCTGTCTGCGATTTAAACCGGTTTTTCGAGTGTAGTGAGTTGACAGTCTCACCCCAGTCGCAAGTGATGCAAACTTGGCAACATTCCAGCTCTGAGAATTAAAATAATCAGTTTGACTGCGATGTGATGAACGTGTTCTTTGTGTAGTGTGTGCGGTGCTCCCTTGTGAGAGGTCATTAGAAGGCATCTAAGAATTAGTTCTATTATATCTTCTTCTATGGGCTGTTCTCTGTCAGTCTCATGAACTGTCTACTCTGTGCGACTTCCAAATGGGTGCTTCTTTTCATGACATGGCACCGATAAAATAATATAAATAAAAGAGGGATTTTTATTTATGGTCATGTGATTTTCTTTCGAGAGAGAAAACTATTCTATAAGCATGTCTATGTGCATGGCCCTCATTTTCTTCGAATGTTCAATGTTTATATTCTTGGTTCTTTCGGTAAAGTCACGTAGAAGGGAAACAATAAAATAATAAAAAAATATATAAAACAATACAATTCTCACGACGTTTCGACTGCAACACAAGCAATCATCATCAGGTGTGAAAACCACAACAAGAAAATTTGAAAAAGTGGCGGTTTTTTAACGTTGAAACGTCGTGAGATATTTATTGTTTTATATTTTTATTATTTTATTGTTTCCCTTCTACGTGACTTTACCGAAAGAACCAAGAATATGAATCTCTGCAGTCACGAAAGCTTTAAATCATTGTTCAATGTTTGTTTATATTTCCAAGCGGCTTGATGGTATTGCAATGAATTTGAGAGATGCCTTATTAAAGCAATAGATCTTTTCTTTCCACCATTGAAAGCCTGCGAGTTGGAGATGAAGAAGGTCTATAAGCTGTCGAAGAGTGAACACATTGAGCCTTTCAAATCCCACATGGAAGCCTTCACGCACCAAGGTGAGGTCCTGCTCGCTCCTTTTACCTCACCAGGCAAAGTTCCCGCGGTCTCCTTCATTGGAAGAGTAGAGCAAGGACGATTCGTCCTTTAAGTTAATTAACCCTTCTCCCGTTCCGAGACGTTTGCTAGCTACAGTGTGGGTGCCCCATTCACCGGTGAATCTCCGAACGCGCAAGCGGTTCACGTTAATTTTACTCGGAGAGGCGTGGCACCGTTGTTTTTAAAGACATTGTACTCGCCGCAGAGATGTGTAGCGACACGACCACACTCTATGATAGCTGTCGCCAAACTGTGCCACACGCCCTCCCTCATGGCCTTTTACTTCCTCCCCCATGCAAAACACTCCTTAAAATTAAATCGGCCAACCATCCCAATGCAGGACTCTCTTTAAAGTTAGTCGTGAAATTCTTTAAGAGTGTCCTGGATACATCAATGGCATTATTATTATTATCATTTTAAGCGGAAGCTGCGAAACATCCAGTTATAAATCAGGTGACGTAGCAATACCATCTCAACGTGATGCATTTTTTTCGGGACTTTGTTTGCTTGAAATGAGAGAGTTTACTTTGTAAACGGTTGCTTTTCATTTGTCGTTTGCAGCAAATATTGACCGTGAAGTTGAAGAGAAGTGTCTACAGGAGACGCAGGCAAGGTGTGTCCCTGCTGGAAACCGCCACTGGCTATGGGCAGCAGAGCCTGGCGGCGGTGGTGGTAACTATGCTCGCCTGTAATCTAGCCCTGTGTGTGGAGGGCACCCAGGGTTGTTGGATCGCACAGATGTTGCGAAACTCCCTTCCCGTGGGTGTCGAGGAGGTGTCATCGCCAGGAGAGTGCAGTAAAGTAAATTTGTAGTCCAACTGAGTCGCAGACGTTATCTTAGGAGCAACACTATTTATTTACACAAAGGTACGTAACATAACACAATCTACACTCGGGTCTCGGATGCCCATCTAACCACGCTACGGCAGAACTAGACACGGTTCGCTATCCCGGTTCGGACCACAAGCTGGGTCCCGGACCGTGTGGCTAGAGGCTTCTTCTCCCCGACGTGGATCTTCGTAACACCGGCACACGAAGAACCCCGTGCTCTTCACGGGGCCCCCGTTATATGCCCCCGGGCTGGGGCTGGCTCCGCCCTTCACTCCGCCCTTCACTCCGCCCACCTTCCAGGTCCCTCGAGCTCCTTCTCGAAGGTTCCCGAGAGCTCCTTTGGACCACGTGACCACCCCGGGGCCCCCGTCCACCTTTGGCCCCCCTCCAATATCATCTGGTCACGTGTCAGCAGGTCAACCAGCGTATCATGCCCCAACGTAACCCTGGCTGCCTGACGCTACCTCTCGCTCGCTCTCGCTCCCTCACCGGGAGCCCGCACCGCACACTGCTTGCGGTGCCTTCGCGCTAACCAGCGCTCACCCAAGCCCGCTAGGGCTGGTACTACATCCCGTAACCCGGGCTGCCCACAATGACACCACATTACCCGCCATGGTTTCGTAAGCCCCGGCACCATAGTGACAAGCACAGTCACTACAAATGTGAACTACACCTTTTCTGTCTATGAGGTCGTGTTTTCCCCTTACTCTTGTGGTTTTCTCCAGGTGCTCCGATATTCTCCCACGTAAACGCTCATGAATTGGCCGTTAACACCTTAATATATAGAGGACTACAGAGCTTCGGCAAATGTTGGCGCAAGCTTATCGCGTGACTGGTTTCTCCCTGCACTTCCGAGTCGTCTTCTGTCTATGAGAGCGAGCGAATACTGTGCATCGGCAGCGGTGCGTTACAAGTCGAAATTATCATCGTAGGAGATGAGCAATTAGTCACTTGAGCAGGGTAGTACTTTTAAATCTGGATTGAAAACTCATTTTTTGAGAACTGCTTTTTGTGTTTAGTCTGTTGTTTTTCCCCGCACCTCTGATCAGCATGGTTGGCAACATGCGATGCGGAAGAAGTTTAACATGCATGTAATGATTCTGTGTTGAACAAATTATTTAATGATGCTGCTGCGCGGGAGTGCGGTCTCCAACTCTTAAACACTTCTTTCTCTAAAACATACATACGCTCTTATACATACATATATTAACCTGATGACTGATAGAATGTAGCATGGGTATTATTCTCAGCCTGCGACAAAATCGCCCCGCAGTGCTGCCGATCTCATCAGACCTCGGCAGCCAAGCCTGGATAAATGCTTGCGTTGGTGACCGCCATGCACAACCAGGTGTTGTAGACTTCGGGGCGAAGTTGTGGGCAGCAGTGGGCAGTTGTGGCACAATCCGTTGTATTGTACTTTTTTGCTCCTGCATCTATACGTCCTTGTCTTCATCAAAAACACAGTGATAGGAATGGAAAAGTAAAGTTTAGTCAAGTAAGCCCAACAACTAACGGAGGTGGGAATGCCCTCATCCAGCAGTGGATTCACAAAATGGGCTGTGTGTGTGTGTGTGTACATGATTACCAGGCAATACTTTCGTTTGGCCTACTGCGCGCCGTGCGGACACCGCACCATCTGGACGTTGTGGGCACTGCAGTGGCGAGATGTTAACTCCCTTGCCTGATATACAGTGAGGGAAAAAAGTATTTTATCCCCTGCTGATTTTGTACGTTTGCCCACTGACAAAGAAATGATCAGTCTATAATTTTAATGGTAGGTTTATTTGAACAGTGAGAGACAGAATAACAAGAGCAAAATCCAGAAAAACGCATGTCAAAAATGTTATAAATTGATTTGCATTTTAATGAGGGAAATAAATATTTGACCCCCTCTCAATCAGAAACATTTCTGGCTCCCAGGTGTCTTTTATGCAGGTAACGAGCTGAGATTAGGAGCACACTCTTAAAGGGAGTGCTCCTAATCTCAGGTTGTTACCTGTATAAAAGACACCTGTCCACAGAAGCAATCAATCAGATTCCAAACTCTCCACCATGGCCAAGACCAAAGAGCTCTCCAAGGATATCAGGGACAAGATTGTAGACCTACACAAGGCTGGAATGGGCTACAAGGCCATTGCCAAGCAGCTTGGTGAGAAGGTGACAGCAGTTGGTGCGATTATTCACAAATGGAAGAAACACAAAAGAACTGTCAATCTTTCTCGGCCTGGGGCTCCATGCAAGATCTCACCTCGTGGAGTTGCAATGATCATGAGAACGGTGAGGAATCAGCCCAGAACTACACGGGAGGATCTTGTCAATGATCTCAAGGCAGCTGGGACCATAGTCACCAGGAAAACAATTGGTAACACTACGCCGTGAAGGACTGAAATCCTGCAGTGCCCGCAAGGTCCCCCAGCTCAAGAAAGTACATATACATGCCCGTCTGAAGTTTGCCAATGAACATCTGAATGATTCAGAGGACAACTGGGTGAAAGTGTTGTGGTCAGATGAGACCAAAATGGAGCTCTTTGGCATCAACTCAACTCGCCATGTTTGGAGGAGGAGGAATGCTGCATATGAGGTGGAAACATGCTTTGGGGGTGTTTTTCTGCTAAGGGGACAGGACAACTTCACCGCATCAAAGGGACGATGGACGGGGCCATGTACCGTCAAATCTTGGGTGAGAACCTCCTTCCCTCAGCCAGGGCATTGAAAATGGGTCGTGGATGGTTATTCCAGCATGACAATGACCCAAAACACACGGCCAAGGCAACAAAGGAGTGGCTCAAGAAGAAGCACATTAAGGTCCTGGAGTGGCCTAGCCAGTACCGAGACCTTAATCCCATAGAAAATCTGTGGAGGGAGCTGAAGGTTCGAGTTGCCAAACGTCAGCCTCGAAACCTTAATGACTTGGAGAAGATCTGCAAAGAGGAGTGGGACAACATCCCTCCTGAGATGTGTGCAAACCTGGTGGCCAACTACAAAAAACGTCTGACCTCTGTGATTGCCAACAAGGGTTTTGCCACCATGTACTAAGTCATGTTTTGCAGAGGGGTCAAATACTTATTTCCCTCATTAAAATGCAAATCAATTTATAACATTTTTGACATGCGTTTTTCTGGATTTTTTTGTTGTTATTCTGTCTCTCACTGTTCAAATAAACCTACCATTAAAATTATAGACGGATCATTTATTTGTCAGTGGGCAAACGTACAAAATCAGCAGGGGATCAAATACTCTTTTCCCTCACTGTACAGGAGGTCGTAGGTTCAATCCGGACCCTGACACCTGTATATTTGGAGTTTGCGTGTTCTCCCCGTGGTTTTGTCGCCCTCCGGGTTTTTCCCTCCACGTTTAGGATCATGCGGTTTAGAGTATTTGGCCGCTATAAATTGCCACACGATAAGCAACTTTGCTGGGCTTTGATTTGTGGCCAGGTCACTTCTGAAAAAAGAGCTTTACAGCTCAGTGGGCCTTACCTGGTAAAATACAAATTAGTTGAGTTATTGAGTCGTCTGCTGCGGGTGTCCTCTCATGCGTGGCAGCTTCCTGGACACGGCCGCCTTTTTTTGCTTCAAGCCGAAGTCGGGGGAGAAGGAGGTGACCCCCTCGCATTTCTTCTCCGTGTGGCTCGAGTTCTGCTCGGATTTCAAGGAAAACTGGAAGAAGGAGAATAAAGTGATCGCCACCGAGCTGTAAGTCACTCTGCCCGTCCCTGTCCTGCTGCGTTATCGTACTCTCCAGGCTATAAGATGCTCATGAAGGTAAGATGCACCCCTAACTTTTGAGGTCGTTTATCAAAGAAATCGTTTTTTTTTTAATCGGGAGAATGCGGTACTGTTCTTGCCGAAGATAGTTACGTACTAGCTGCTTTAACACGGTGAGAGACGTCTTGCGGAAGATGAGTTGGAACCGCTCACGGCAGGACCATCGTCCGGAAGATGAGCATGAACAACTGACTCAAAGCGCGTCTTTTGGAAGACAATTCATTCTGTGGATTATAAGACGCACCCCCCCCCCCCCCCAAACCTTGGCTTTAAGATACAGCGGAGGGGGAAAGTCTTATCATCTGGAGAGTACGGTGATAAAATGTGCTTTTATATCGCGCGATTCGGGGCACTTGCCAATAAAATAAAAAAAACACTCAAACCCCTAGGTCAGCTCAGCCTCAAATGAGTACCTGGTGCAGTGTGTAAACATTGGTACTGGGGAGACGACGGTGCTGGCCACCCACCCCCTCGTGTGCGGCGGTGCCAACCTTGATAGGTGCTCACAAGCACTTGCCCCAGAAGTAAGTTACGGCTATACGGGCGGTTATTGTCTTCGTGACTGATGAACCCTGTCACCGAGCCTTGGATACTTCACTGCCACCGAGTGGTGGATGGCGACTGTTTATGTTAATTACGAGATTTATATTACTTTATTGATACGGGGCACAAGTTGGGGTTGCTTCTTACCTTCCGAGGCATCTTATAATCCAGAGAATGCAGTATACATTTTTATTTTTTTTACTGCTATCTGCGTGCAAGAGAATGTTGACATGTCACCGACAAATGTCGATGCTTCTACTCTTCATGCCAGTGTTGCCAATGGTAACCAAGAGCTCGTCATCGATGGCAGTTGCCGCCGATGCCCAACACACATCACCATCGTCGCCTTTCCCCGTGTCCAATTCCCCCCCCCCCTGCCCAGGCCATTGTTGCATTTGTGATTCATCGTCCGTGTGTCTTGTCCAGGTTGAGGAAAGCCAAAGAGAGCGTGAAGCAGAAAATTGGCGAGAATAAAGCCATCACTGCAGAGAAAAAGTCATCGGGGCTGGTATGGCATTTTTTTTTCTATCTTTGCATTCCTCCGCTGTGTCTGATTGGAGAAGTATGTGCGCATTTGAAATTGTGATTACTATATTATTATTATCCTCGGATCATTGTAGCTTCGCACAGGCCACCGTGGTATTCTTCAAAAAAATATTTACCTCTTTATTTATCTTAACTCAGCTTAACTGGGAATCTCTTGGGAGTGTATATCGACGGAAAATCTTAGATCTGTTTGCTCACAGGATTCGTGGCAAGGATAACCCAAAAATAAGAGCCATTCTGCTGCATTTAGATGGTTTTAAAATATGATCCTTGTTCCTGTGCTGCCTGCTTTAGATTGTCCGTGTAAATAACAAGGCTGAGTCACCCAATTTGCTTGTCATGGGGCAGGGGAGGGTGGGATAGAGCTGTAGCGCATTTACTATAAATCCAGTGACTTCAATCTGATTCTCAGCCGTGGTTAGCATCAGTTGTGAGTGATATCTGAAACTGGTTCCGGGTCCCCCTTCACCAACCCACTCTGACCGCCGTGGTGAAGTATATTCTAAAGCTCCCTTGCGATCGGCGCCATCTGGAGGAGGCCTTCGTCCATCCATGGATTCACAAAGCTGCAAATTAAGACGGATGCAACGATCCATTGAGTTATTGATTAAAACCAATTTTTATGCCCGTGTGCGTCAAGTCATGTTCGTGAAGTGAATGTTCATGATTTGTGCAACTGGTGTATTTTTTTAAATGCTTCTGTTACATTTTGACCGAGGGAGTAGGCAAAACTACATGAACGACACTGAAAAAACGAGAAATTATACAAACGAGCATGTGAAAATGAGACAAGTGAATCCGTCCTTCACTCGAATAGCGGCGCCGAATCGTGGCGACCCGTCGAATCATCTTGGCGATTAATTGTGGTTGGCATGCCCAGTAATCCGGTTGGGGGACACCGCGGAACATCGAAAGGTTAGGAGGTCAAATCGCAGTCTGAGTTTGACTCGGCACGCAGTCCCTCCAGTCGGATAGATACAATGGAGGGACTGCATAATCCACAGGTACGCGTGTGTTTTCCTGCTCCTTTCGGTCGTGTTGATTTATTTTCTGCACGGAGTCTGATTCAATGATTCACTCTTAGACTTTGTAATGTAATTTTTTTTCCTATAGATGTTGTGGAAACACTGAATGTCTATGGTAATGCTGCGTTGGCAATGGTGCACAAACACAACAAACAAGCAACATGCGTCAATAACAAAATTTATTAGACGACGTTTCAGGCAATGACTCTTCTTCATAGCACATGTGAAGAAGAGCCTTTGCTCGAAATGTCACCTTTATTTTTATTTTAAAGCCATTGTTATTGACGGAACGTGTTTATATTTTTTTTAAGTATGAGATGTGGCTTTTTAACACATTTTCTTCTTTTCTCTGCACCTGTGTGTTTCTCACAGAAAGCAAAAATCCACAAGAAGATGTCACTCCAATGAGACGTTGACGTCGAGGCTTGACGATTCCCGGGGTCCCCCCCCCCCCACACACACACACATACACGAGTCCATCATCACCAGCTCCCACAATACAGGTCATATCGCGTTTTGATTTTACTCGCTAACAATCCTCGTGAAATTCCACGTGTAGAACCCGTCCCTGACCACTTGTACTTTTAGTCTCTTTGTCGTGCAAATCATTTTATTTTCGTTAGTTGCGTACGTTTATCCTGCCCGCCCGTGTCTCTCCTTACCGACGTAAATAAAACCGTGTTACACTGGCCAAAAGGGGGGTTCCGTGTAAGGGAGACACGACCCAAAAGTATATTTCATGTTATTTTATTTTTGTAACCAAACACAACTTTGGTCCACAGCGATGTGACAGTTCAAATTTTAATTTTAAAAAATGTCACGTTCACCTTTAAAACCCATTTTAACTGACTCGTGATTAAAACCTGCGGCGAAGAGTTTGGCATTGTGCAGTGTAAGCCGACCTCTATTGGTTTACCTTGGCCACCTCCCAGCATGGCACTGGGTGCAGTGATGTCGCTGTGGGGCCGGCTCCCACAATGCACCATGCATTGTGATGTTACCTCGGTACCACCTCCCACAATGCACCATGCATTGTGATGTTACCTCAGTACCACCTCCCACAATGCACCATGCATTGTGATGTTACGGTACCACCTCCCACAATGCACCATGCATTGTGATGTTACCTCGGTACCACCTCCCACAATGCACCATGCATTGTGATGTTACCTCAGTACCACCTCCCACAATGCACCATGCATTGTGATGTTACCTCAGTACCACCTCCCACAGCGCACCGCACATCGTCATGTAGCGTTAGTACCTGCTCCCACAATGCACCGCGCATTATGATGTAACTGTAGTACCACCTCCCATTGCACCATACATCGTCATGTAACTGACGTACAATCTCCCACAATGCACTGTGTGCGTCATGACCTAGACGTATTTAATGGTATGGAAATCTACCGCAGTGACATCGCTCGAGGGCGCTATTCCAGAACTCATAAAAGTAACGTGACCACGACTTTCATTCTTTCTTATCATTTGCGAAGATTAAAATCTGATGTGTGACAGCCTGGTACGGAGAGCACAGGTACTAATTTGTCAAACAATACCCCTTTGTGTTTGGCTTGTGTCTCCCTTCAGCGAAGGATGCAAGCGATAGAGGGCAGGAAGTAGTGTAAAGAGAAACATGTCTTTTCGCAAACTCGTGTGAGATTGGGTCAGCCTGTAGGGTAGGGTCATGTGTACATACATTGCATTGTTATCAAAATACTGTAACACTTTCCCAATTCACAAATCGTTTATTGTTACCGTGTGACATTGATTTTGTTCTTTTACAGAGGAATATTTGGTGGTTTCACCATGATTTCACCTTGTCGAACACTTGCGATTATTGTGAATAAGTATGTAAACACAGTTGATTGTACAGACGCCAAGTGCAAACTATGCAAATGAAATATTGCCGCTGATTTTCCCAGGCTATTGTCAACCCGAAATAAACTACTGAGTGCTGTGCCTACAAATGTATTACATAGCCAAAAACAATTGTAGCTAAAATCCAATGGGCCGGTATGTAAAATTACTTTAATATGGCCTAGCATTTTATATTTATAGTTGCACCGTGCATTATTTCTATCACTTTGTTATATTTACGTCTATGTATCTCGATGCCTTCCTGCGGCGTATGTTACTCGTCGGAGATGAATTAGACGTCGCTCAATCGAAATCTCACGTTTACAGCAACGTTACGTTTAGGGTCCTCTCTCGGCAGTGGCTATGTTGTGTTTGCGAATGCGGTATTTAAATAAAAGCTTATTATGTTACCATGTTAGAGTGGGAATTTGTACAGTCGGTCGCATGTTGGTTTACATTGCAGGAATGGACTTGCTCTGCTGAAAATAAGGTCAAGAGGTCAATCACGTGACTCACTGATGCCACGACATCTCTCTATGAATTCGTCCTGCTGGATCTTGCAAAGTTGACATCCCCGGGCCTTCAAGGTCCATGCTTACTCAGGAAATAATTTCAGGTTATATATTTTTTATCGCAGTTTTAAGGTCTTATCAGATTTTTAGATCATTTACATTTTGTAATCATGTAGTGTGTCTCCACCCGATGCCACGTCACCCCACATTTGTCGGGAAAACCGCATACGTGAAAGTGATATCACTTCCTGTGGCGCCACATGCTCGGATTACAATAAGATAAGATTCAATTTCGTATCTAGGCCTGATTTTGGCATTTTTAGAATTCGATCATCGGGAACATCCGTAGCGCTTTAAAAAACTCATTTGTAGAAATTACACTGTGGCCTTAAAATGAAAAATATATAATCGGTGACGTTTGAGGCAATGTCACCTATTATAAAAAATATATAAAACCTGGAACTCTTTCCTTAGTAAGCATGAACCTTGTAGGCCCTGGGATGTCAACTTTGCAAGATCTAGCAGAACAAATTCATAAGGAGATGTCATTTTCATTCTGAGGCAGTAATAATTGATCTAGCTCAGTGGTTCTCAAACTGTGATCCCTAGACCACCAGTGGTCTGCGACGGTCCTCCAGGTGGTCTGCGGGCTGTAATACAATTGCATATTGATCCGGATATACGAACAATGGGTATACGTTTTATATTGGACATTAATTAATATTCATTCTATGCTATTTCATTTAAAAATTGTTAAAATAACCTGATTACACTACCCTAACCCTGGGATCTAAATGCCTCATCTCCCCCCCTCCCGAAAGAAAAAAAACTTTTCGCTGCGTTAAATAGAAATGTTTTATGTTCTGGTGATATTGTAGTGACTGGGAATGTCACTGTGGTGCCGGGCCTGCGAGGCCACGGCGAGATGTATCCTGTTCTGTGTACACCCCGGACACAGGGTGTAGTACCAGCCCTAGTGGGGGCTTGGGTGAGCACCACGCACAGCGTGCGGTGCGGGCTCCCGTTGAGAGAGCGAGAGAGTGTCAGCCAGCCGGGGTTACGTTGGGGGCATGATGCTCTGGCTGACCTGGGGACACGTGACCGGATGATACTGGAGGGGGGCCACCGGTGGAGGGGGCCAATGGTCCGGGAAGAACTCTCGAGAGCCTTCGGGCAAGGGCGAGAGATCGAGAAGGTGGGCGGGGAAAGAGGCGGAGCCGGCCCCAGCCCGGCCCGATATAAGGGGGGGTCCCTGTGAGGGGCTCGGGGTTCTTACTGTTGGAGAAGCAGGAGATCCACGTCAAGCTTGAAGAAGCCTCCAGCCACGCGGTCGGGGACCCAGCTTGTGGTCCGGACTGGGATAGCGGAACCGTGTCTAGTTCCGCCGTAGCGTGAGTAGTTGGGTGGTCACCATCCGAGAGTATGTTGTGTTAATAGCCTGGAGTATGTTGTGCAAATAGTTTTTAAAACGTGTTGCTCCCTAAGACAACGTCTGCGACTCAGTTGGACTCACTACAATATGAATAATTTTGTATGACTGCTATTGAAAGAGAGAAGCGAACGCGTTTTGTCACCGGGTATGGGGGTGGTCGGGCAGTCCGCGGAAATATTTGCATTGGCCGAGTGGTCCGCCGACCAAAAATGTTTGATAAATGCTGCCCTAGTTCGGACAGTGTCCCAATGTCTGCCCTTAGGTCTCCTCTTCCCCTTGGCCGCCGACCACTCCTGTGCCTGTCTCAGATAACCTGACCTCCTCCAACCCTCCACATGTGGCCCCACCCATCTCAACCTCCTCTCCCTTTTGACCCGATTTACTCACAAACTTCTGAGTTGCTGACCCCCTTAGCCCAGCTTGAAATTCCTGGCACATTCTATGCACGCATCTGCAATGCAAAGGACCAGAAGTTCTTTTCACTTTGTAAAAGTCAAGCTCCGTGACCGATAACAGCAACGCCCGTCGCCAACACCTCTCCCAAGTGGTTGACACGATGCATCAAAAACGAGCCGAACAAAGACAAATGTACATGAAAACCAGCAAAAGTAATTTTGTTCAAAAAGTGCAAAAATCTTCCAAACTACCAATCGGCTAAGTTGATTAAATAACATGTATATTGCAAAACTCCGATTATTAGACTGCCCACCTTGTAGCATATCTGTCAACCCATACGGTGTACCCGTATTCTTGTTCAGAGAAACTTTGTTTTCAGGTCCATAAGGCGTACAGCCATTTCAATACGGTAACATTTTTTGTGTCTATTTGTTTGTGTTTCTCCCTTGTGATGGGACTTTATAGGATCAACGTTGAGATTTAAAAGGGCACGGGGTGACCAATAAGGTCTGAATTGGTCTGTAATAAGGTAGGCGCTGGTAAGGGGTCAACAGGTATGTTGTAATTATTAAAGGAGTGAACCACGTGGACAATCATGAATACAGTAGATCTGATTATCCGCGCGCAGTTTATCAAAATTAGCAGATTAAACGTGCACCTGAGATTTTGACATTAATTCATCACTCATGGATTTTCCTTTAAGCCCAAATTAATATTCTAAAAACCGTTATACATTTGTAGTGACTAACGCGGAGGCACTAGAGTTGGAGGCACTCTTTATTAACAAGCACCAACGGGAGTTACCACTTTACAATAAGTCCGTCTATGGTCGACGACGTTGCCCAGTCAGGACAGTTGGTAGGCTGCCTGACTGGTGACGCCCGAGATGGTGAAGACGGAGACGACGACGAGAAGGATGGTGGAGACGACGAAGAGAATGGTGAAGACTCCAACAGCACGATGGGGATCCCACTCCATATGACAGCCCCGAGATCCCCTCCGGGGGCCCCTCTTATACTGTCAGCGTGGCCTGGCTCCGCCCCCCGGCCACGCCCCCTTTCTAGAACCTACCAGCGGGTTCTTGGTGTGCCCCTTCTGGACCTTTCTCCTAGATCCCCCTCTGGTGTATAACTTGGCCTGCTGACGTCAGGGCTGCTGTAAGCTGCAGATCCCTTTCCCCACCAGCAGCCAGGACTATGCTGCTACATTACATATTCTATGTCACTACACATTTGTAGAGACAGTGTGTGGACTAGTGGCCACGAGTGGTAACTACGGGTGTGGAAACAGTATAGGATTACAACAGGGACAGTACGCCTGGCAATAAGGGGGGATAACCAGGCCAGGGAACTAAGAGGGGAATGATCTGGAGGCTTTGGGAATCTGCGAGGGAGTTCGAGAAGAGGGGCGTGGCCAGGGGCGGAGCCATGGCCACACTGGAGGATAAAAGGGGCGAGAAGCAGGGTTCTAGGCTGCCGTGGGGTTCGGGGTCCTGGCCGTCGTCGCTCTCATCGCTCTCGTCGCTGTCGCCACCATAGTCGTTATATAGTCAGTCAGCTATGTAGACGGATCGTTATGTCCTCAAAGTCATAAATGTGAGATCGAGTCGACGCTGGGAAGAGATAGAGAAATAAATGAAGAAACCCTCTACAGTCCGTGTATTCCGAAGTCATTATACAGTGAGGGAAAAAAGTATTTGATCCCCTGCTGATTTTGTACGTTTGCCCACTGACAAAGAAATGATCAGTCTATAATTTTAATGGTATGTTTATTTGAACAGTGAGAGACAGAATAACAAAAAAATCCAGAAAAACGCATGTCAAAAATGTTATGAATTGATTTGCATTTTAATGAGGGAAATAAGTATTTGACCCCTCTGCAAAACATGACTTAGCACTTGGTGGCAAAACCCTTGTTGGCAATCACAGAGGTCAGACGTTTCTTGTAGTTGACCACCAGGTTTGCACACATCTCAGGAGGGATTTTGTCCCACTCCTCTGCAGATCTTCTCCAAGTCATTAAGGTTTAGAGGCTGACGTTTGGCAACTCGAACCTTCAGCTCCCTCCACAGATTTTATATGAGATTAAGGTCTGGAGACTGGCTAGACCACTCCAGGACCTTAATGTGCTTCTTCTTGAGCCACTCCTTTGTTGCCTTGGCCGTGTGTTTTGGGTCATTGTCATGCTGGAATACCCATCCACAACCCATTTTCAATGCCCTGGCTGAGGGAAGTAGATTCTCACCCAAGATTTGACGGTACAATGGCCCCGTCCATCGTCCCTTTGATGCGGTGAAGTTGTCCTGTCCCCTTAGCAGAAAAACACCCCCAACGCATGTTTCCACCTCCATGTTTGACGGTGGGAATGCTGTTCTTGGGGTCATAGGCAGCATTCCTCCTCCTCCAAACGCGGCGAGTTGAGTTGATGCCAAAGAGCTCCATTTTGGTGTCATCTGATCACAACACTTTCACCCAGTTGTCCTCTGAATCATTCAGATGTTCATTAGCAAACTTCAGACGGGCATGTATATGTGCTTTCTTGAGCAGGGGGACCTTGCGGGCGCTGCAGGATTTCAGTCCTTCACGGCGTAGTGTGTTACCAATTGTTTTCTTGGTGGCTATGGTCCCAGCTGCCTTGAGATCATTGACAAGATCCTCCCGTGTAGTTCTGGGCTGATTCCTCACCGTTCTCATGATAATTGCACCTCCACGAGGTGAGATCTTGCATGGAGCCCCAGGCCGAGGGAGATTGACAGTTCTTTTGTGTTTCTTCCATTTGCGAATAATCGCACCAACTGTTGTCACCTTCTCACCAAGCTGCTTGGCAATGGTCTTGTAGCCCATTCCAGCCTTGTGTAGGTCTACAATCTTGTCCCTGACATCCTTGGAGAGCTCTTTGGTCTTGGCCATGGTGGAGAGTTTGGAATCTGATTGATTGATTGCTTCTGTGGACAGGTGTCTTTTATATAGGTAACAAGCTGAGATTAGGAGCACTCCCTTTAATAGTGTGCTCCTAATTTCAGCTCGTTACCTGTATAAAAGACACCTGGGAGCCAGAAATCTTTCTGATTGAGAGGGGGTCAAATTCTTATTTCCCTCATTAAAATGCAAATCATTTCATAACACTTTTGACATGCGTTTTTCTGGATTTTTTTTGTTGTCGTTCTGTCTCTCACTGTTCAAATAAACCTACCATTAAAATTATAGACCGATCATTTATTTGTCAGTGGGCAAACGTACAAAATCAGCAGGGGATCAAATACGTTTTTTTCCCTCACTGTACATTGTTACACTTGGAAATGTTTATTACAAGTCACGCACTTAAACCGAACAAATATACGCTCTGGTTAATCCGAAATCTACACGATCGCCTCTATAGTAGAGTAGTTGCATATATTTACACCAGTGGGCGTAGTTTGACTGATGTTGATTGGCATGGCTCTTCTGCTGTCCACTTAGTGGGCCGATTATTTACGCGTGAGCAGGAAAAGTTTTATCACCGAGCACGTGCATCGATTGGTCGATCGTTAGTATTTATCCAATCGTTTATTTTATGAGTTTTTATTTACGAAACTGCGATGGCAGAAAAACGTAAATATAATTTATACCCATTTTAGTAGTTTATTGGCGTAGAGATCCACGGAAAAAATGTATACTTTTGGATTATCCGTAATTTTGTATTATCTACGTCCGTCCTCCGCGTCATTAGCACGGATCATCCGTGGGTCTACTGTAAATTATTTAATGTTTACGGTTCATGATTTCATAATAGCTAAGATTCGTTTAAAATTACGAGTACTTTTCAAACTTACTAATATTCAAAAATTAGCCTTAACTCCCATACGGTTACAGTGACATGTTTGTTTCTCATTTTAAACAGTGGACAAAATAGGAGGCACTTCTTCCAGCCATATTCAGTGCTGCGCAAATGAAAACTGAAAGTAAAAATATATATTTTCAATGAACATTAAAATTTAAACAATCTTCTTACGTAATGGTAGCTTCGTGTTGCAATGGTTTGAATTAAAATAATCAAGATTCATCCACTACTGGATGATGAAGTCCTCTCTCAATCTTGCGATGCAACAATCCATCGTCTAGCTTCAGCAACTGAACGGAGGTAGAGAACGTGAGACCCTCGATTCAGGTCCTGAAGAAGCTCCTAGCGCGTGGCGCGAAACCGTCGGACATCACGCCAAAGAACGCGTCTGACAACCCGATAAACACCTCGGAGAGCTAACGAATTCCCACGGCCTACACGTGGTGTTTGCTTCTTAGAGAGAGGGGAAACGTGTAACTGGCAACGTTCTTAATCCCATTGCCATGCTCATCAATGATTTTAGCTGTTATGTAGAACAAGTATTGGAAATAAATGCGTTTCCAATGCAAGCTATGCACTGTTCCCCTACGTGACAGCATTCCACTTGCACGACAAAATCGTTTTAAACGTCTTGCGGAAGTGCATGTTGCACAGCGCGTAACACATCGGGTTGACCGTGCTGTTGACGTAGCAAAGCCAATATCCCAAGTGCCACAGCTTCTTCGGCACGCAGTCGTCGCAAAACGTTGAGACGAGCACCATGATGTTGTACGGAGTCCACGTCACAATGAACGCCAGCAATATCGCGCACAGGATCCTGACGGCCTTGTTGTCCCTGGCGAGCAGGCTGCAGTGTCTCCTCGCCGTGCTGCTGTGCGCCTTCCCTCCTTTGCACCGCCCCCTGTGTGATCGTCCTCTCAGAACGATCTTATCTGCGGCAGGCTCGTCCTCACGTGGCGATTCTCTCTCGGCGTCCCGTGGGAGGAGGGACTCCTCGATACGCATGTCGACAAGCGTCGCGCAGTTGCTTCTTCCGAGGTCGCGTCCTCGCACCGTCGAGCTGATCCGTGCGTGCTGCGGCTCGGCGCAAGTTTCGCCGCCGTTGCCGGCGACTGAATCGGCCGCTGCCACGGGGTCATCTGGGACGTCAGATGGAGCGGAAGGTCGCGGAGAGCTGCCATCTGTTGCTGCAGCAGCTGGCTTGGCGCAGGAGTCCGCCCGCTCGTTCGCAGGCTCCTGCTCGTCGTCGTCGGAGCTGATCGCGCACCCTAGCGACACAGCCTCCTCCTCCTCCTCGTCGTCGTCCTCCTCCTCCTCGTGCGTCGTCTCAATGTGTCCCTCGCAGCTCTGCAAGCTGCATTTCCATGGCTGACTGCCCTGCGACGTTTTGCTTTTTGGGGAGCGGATTCCGTCGTGAGCCCTGGCACCGCAATCTTCGTCGTAATCGTCGTCGCAATCATCGTCCTTGAGAAAGGTCAAGCATCCTCGCGTCCCCGTAGGCACGTGGCTTCTGGACTTGGACTCGGAGCCCTGCAGAGTCGCAAACTGCCTTGATCGCCGCCGTGTCTCCCTGTAGATCCTCCAGTAGAGAACCATCATGATGGTGATGGGCAGGTAAAAGGCAGCTATGGCTGTACCGAACGTGATTATGGGCTCGGAGAGAAACTGTATGTAGCACTGATCCTGCGGCACCGTCCTTTTGCCGACCATGTGCTGCCAGAACAAAATGGCCGGCGCCCAGAGGACGAGCGATACCGCCCAGGCCAGGCCGATCATAATGGAGGCCCTCCTCTTGGTCCGCTTGGCTTTGTACTTCAGGGGTCGAGTGATGGAAAAGTACCGGTCGAAGCTGATCGCCAGCAAGTTCATGACGGAAGCGTTGCTGGCCACGTAGTCCAGAGTCAGCCACAGGTCGCACATGACCGCGCCCATGGCCCAGCGGCCCGTCAAAATGTAAGCGGTGTACAGGTTCATTGAGAAGAGGCCGACGATGAGGTCGGCGGCGGCGAGGCTCAGCAGGAAGTAGTTGCTCACCGTCTTGAGCTGCCTGCTGACCCTGAAGGAGAGCATCACGAGCGTGTTGCCGACCACGGTGATCAGGCTGAACATCGCTGCCACGACGGCAATGACGACGACTTGGGCGACGTTCTGTTCCCCAGCCAGCGGATCGTCGGCGGCGCTCGAGTTGAGCGTCAGAGCAGCGCTCGGATTCTGAGAGGTGGGGCTCCAAACGATGCCTTCGTCTTGAATATTGATTCCTTCCATTACTGTGCCTGTAGGAAGTTGGCATACGCAGCGTCGTGTTTTTCGTACAGCGGAGTTGGTCCACACGCGTTTCCGTTCCGCACATTCAGGTGTCTCGCCCTGTAAACAACATCGGTGTTATATGAGAACAAAACATCATCAGTATTATTATCCCCTTGTCTGCGTGGGGTTTTCCAGAGTAAAGACAAGAACAACCTCAACAATTGCTCACAAACTCAGGGAGGCCTTCTTGAATGATTAAAAAGCATTTATTTACTGACTTATTAGTTCTGGTTTTAGTTACCAGATTAGTTAAAAGTGCTCACCAAGGAACATTGCCAGTGTAACGCTCTGATTTCAATCCAAATGTATACATTAACAGTGCACGCTGATAGAATAACAGGATCGGTGTAATGTCACGTGGCCCTAGTTGCCTTTCTCAGGGTGCAGCAATTGAGGAATTATCCGTCGACCCTTCACATCCACGTCCCTTCGCACACCGCGAGTTTTTTTTTTAGCTGGTGCCGTTTGTCCCGTTTAGCCACGGCGATCAGCGTCCCCTCGAGAGGCGCTCTTCCAACGGGGGATAATATATTGATGAAGCTCCAGTCCTTCACAACACAACCAATTATCGGCTTACTCGATTCAGGAATTGTGGGGAGTGGTGGTTCAAAGTGCGATACGTTGTCGATCGCAGGCCCGAGTCACGGCTCACACCAAGTTCAATGATTGTCTTGAAATGGACATCTTCATCGTCTTTGGTTCTTTCGGTAAAGTCACGTAGAATTAGAATAAAATAATAAAATAAAATACGTGACTTTACCGAAAGAACCAAAGAAGATTAATCCTTGCAGTCACGAAAGCTTTAAATCGAAAAATGGACATTTTCAATTAAAACTGTCAGGAAGTTACATTTTTATTTAAAGCTTTCGTGACTGCAGTGATTCATATTCCTGGTTATTTCGGTAAAGTCACGTTGAAGGGAAACAATATATATTGTTATTTTATTGTTTCCCTTATTATTTTATTGTTTCCCTTCTACGTGACTTTACCGAAAGAACCAAGAATATGTCAGGAAGTTGTGGAGGGGCAGCGTGAATGTAACGAGGCCCACATTCATCATCGGATGTGCTGCTAAACTAAACTATAATATGTTTTATTTGACCAGGTAAGACCCACTGAGCTATATAGCTCTTTTGCAAATGCGACCTTCTGATGACCCGGAGAAAAATCCACGCGACCATAGGGAGAACATGCAAACTCCAAATATGCAATGAACATCAGGTCGGATATCGAACCCACGACCTATTTTTCAGGCGAGGTATACCTTTAACAATATAATAGTTAACATCTCGCCACCGCTGCGCCAAGTCGCTGCTGCTGCTGCCTAGCGTGAGCTGTGTCTGTGTCTCACTTTTATGTTGATATCCACATTTTTTTACTCGTAATTTTGCGAGATTTTGTTAAATCAGCCCATGAGGACACATCAAATGTCACCAACCGTGTTCTATCACCGTGCACTGTACACGTTTTGGTTTAAATCTGAGAGGGTCACACTCCGTGAATGTTCCTTGTTTGTGGAATCAAACAAATTCTGGATGCTATTGTTTTCCAAAAGGAAACTGAAGATTAAAGATTTGAAAAACTTGTAACAATATAAATTGCGATAAATACAACACTCACAGCAGGCATCTCAACTGAACAATTCCATAGTTACCATCGCATGGAAAAGACATATCCAGCCTCGCTACTCAAATCAGTTCTGGGCCAAGCGCTCATCTCCACTGGCAGGCCTGAGCCAGTGATGACAATTTCATATTACAATGGCAGGGAGAAGCTTATCCATATGACAATCACAGTTGAATCAACATTATCTACCATTAGAGAGAAGATGGGTTGAGTTGGCCCGACTGCGACTTGAACTTGTAAACCTCCCAATTGTCAGACGAGCGGTCTTAACGCTGCAGTCACCCAGCAAAAATGAGCCATTGTTACAGCCCCTTTGCCACTCCACTGCTGGATGAAGGACTCTCCCATGTGTCGGTTGTAGGAGTTGATTGACAGTAGTTTAACCGTAGTGGTCTCACTACATAGTGTGGAAAAGTGCCGGTGCCCTGCTGCGTAAGGATAAAGCGAGCGTCCGGTCGAAGTGGGCTTTTCAAAGTTTAAGTTCCGTGAAAACTTCGAGTGGCAGCTGTCCTAGAAACACAGACGGTTGCACTGCGCTGCGAGATTTCTTCGGTGGATTCCGGCCTCTAACGTCAGCTGCCATGAGCACACTCAGAATAATCTTGGGAAGACCAAAAAAAAATGTTTTTGGTTTCAAAAAATAAAATAAAAAATTCGACGAAGATAATTTTTTGCCAATCGCACGAACCGTAAACATTGCTGTCAAATTATTGGTTCTTTCGGTAAAGTCACGTAGAAGGGAAATAAAAAATAATACAAATAAAACAATGAAATTCCTGATGATGATTGCTTGTGTTGCAATGGAAACGTCGTGAGAATTTAATTGTTTAATATTTTTATTCTTTTATTATTTCCCTTCTACGTGCCTTTACCGAAAGAACCAATAATATGAATCTCTGCAGTCACGAAAGCTTTAAATCGAAATTAATTGCTGTAACATCACACGGGTTAACCCCGTATTCTTCATGTACAGGGAGATTGAGTTTTCAGCTCCATACGGCGCACAGCCGTTTCAATAAGGGCACAACAATCTAATATTGTCTATTTGTGTCTCCCTTGTGATGGGACTTTGTAGGATGAACGTTGAGATTCATAAGGGCACGGGGGTGACCAACATGGTCTGAGTTGGTCTGTAATAAAGTAGGGCACTGATAAGGGTTGACAGGTGTGCTACTATACACTACACTACTATATACTACTCTACCCTATTAGATACCGTGTCAAACTATACGGTTTACCCCTATTCTTGTACAGGGAAATTGAGTTTTCAGGTCCATTATGGCGCACAGCCGTTTCAATATGGGCACAACAATCTAATATTGTCTATTTGTGTGTCTCCCTTGTGATGGGACTTTGTAGGATGAACGTTGAGATTCATAAGGGCACGGGGGTGACCAATAAGGTCTGAGTTGGTCTGTAATAAGGTAGAGCACCGATAAGGGGTTGACAAGGTGTGCGTAAAACATCAAGCGAGAATCCCCTCACCTGCATGGATGCGTTCCATCTCCCTCTGCCCGTTGCATCCGCGGCCCGACATCACGACGCCAACACCTCTTGATGTTTCAAAAGCGCCCGCAGACTTCGGTGAATTCCAAGCCGAGCGTGTGATGGGCGAAGGGTTTGGGAAGTTAATAGGTCACGAGCGCAGACTTTCGTGTCTCGTCCTGCGCTGTTCCGCCACTGGTGAATGTTGTGTCTGGCACAGGCCGGCCGTGTCAGCCTGTGCCAACCGTGCCAGCCTGTGCCAACCGTGCCCTCCCCAGCGAGGTGGCCCCACCCCAGAGATTTCGCATTGTCAACAGACACTTAAATGCTGCTGCTCATTGAGTCACGGGCAATCGCATGTGTCGGCCACGTGCGATTGCCGTGTGGAACGCACGACGATTACCTGCGGGGCTAAAGCAGGCACGTCAACACGTTACATCACACCGTCGAACCTCCTTTACCTGGCTGCCCAGCACATTTCAATGTCGGGACGTCAACCGGCCGTACGTGTAATGGTCAACCCACTCACTGGTCATGCCACCCCAGAGGTCGCTGATTTGATTTAATTTCTCCGGCAAAGGCAGCTGAAACAATCTGCTTCGGTCGTCTCATTCTTTCGCACGGCTTGTGCTGATGCAGAACAACAAACTTCCATTTCACATTCAGGTGGGCAAGGCAGATTACCGCGTCAGGAGCAACGGAGTTATTTGGCTTTACACAATGATCACGTTTCTTAAATCCTCCTCTGAGCCGCAGCAGTATAACTATTTTTATTTTACCAGGTAAGGCCCACTGAGCTACATAAACATTTTTTTCAAAAGCCACCTGGCCACAAATGACAGCCCAAATTAAGTGGCTTATCACGTGGAAATGTATAGCAGCCAAAAACGCCAAACGCACCGTTGTTGATTCTAAATGCGGAGGCAAAAATCGGGAGGACCCGGAGAAAAATTCACGCGACCGCGGGGAGAACATGCAGACTCCAAATATACAGCAGGCATCAGGGTAGGAATAGAACCCACGACCTCCTGCATACCAGGCGAGGGAGTTAACGCCTCTCCACCGTGGCGCCCCTATAAATGGGTCCACACCAGTCGACTGGCAGGTTGTGTATGGTAGGGTAAAGTGTGGGTACCCCCACTTCTTCCGACACATCTGGCAGCATTGAAGAGGCCAAATACCCTCTAGAGGGCTTCTCTGGAACTCCCTGGAGTGGAAGCCCTTCCGCCAGCAGTGGCGTGAGCGCGCAAATGCAGGGCTGCGACTTCCCCCTTGACTGCGACTCCCCCCTTGACTATATTAATGAAACAAGCTGATAAACCCAGCCGATTAAGGGAAGTCTCCTCTTCATGAGGCGATTTTCATGTGTTGCAACAGGGAGACAAAGGCGGCCGGGCATGGTTGCTGGCCACACGCCACCCCCTCGTGTGCCGTGGCTGCCTTCGGGCGTGCTCGCTAACAGCACTTGACCCCGACAGTCTGTTAGAGGCTACACGGGGGGGGGGGCATCTTTGTCATTGTCCTCTGCGAAAATTTTGGGGCTTCATTGCACCTCTTTGGGCAAGCCAGCACGAGGATGACTCAATGTAAATGAGTGAAACTTTATTTCTATTTTCATGTTACTTTTTTATTTACGAAACAGTATTGATGATATTCTTAGCTCTTTCGGTAAAGTCACGTTGAAGGGAAACAATAAAA